AAATGTCCAGTTTTAGCTAGAAAGACCACCTCGTTCTCCAGATATTCGCTGTCAAACTCGTTTTTGAAAATTTGAAATATCAGGATTTCAGCGGAACCTACTGCTTTCCCGTGCCACCTTCTCGGACCTCATGTTCTCCTGATACTAAATCTCAAATTCTAGCTAGAAAGACTTCTCCGTTCAGAAGATATTCGCTGTTAAACTCTTTTTTGAAAATTTGAAATATCAGTAGATCAGCTGAACCTACTGCCTCCGCGTGCCACCTTCTCGGACCTTATGTTCTCCTGGTACTAAATCTCAAGTTTTAGCTGGAAAGTCTTCCTCTTTCTGAAGATATTCGCTGTTAAACTCTTTTTTGAAAATTTGAAATATCAGGAGTTCAGCTGAACTTACAGCTTTCTCGTGCCACCTCCTCTGACCTCATGTTCTCCTGATATTAAATCTCAAGTTTTAACTAGAAAGACTTCCTCGTTCTCCAGACATTCGCTTTTAAATTCTTTTTTGAAAATTTGAAATATCAGGAGTTCAGCGGAACCTACTGCTTTCCCGTGCCACCTTCTCGGACCGCATGTTCTCCTGATACTGAATCTCAAGTTTTATCTAGAAACACTTCCTCTTTCTGAAGATATTCGCTGTTATACTCTTTTTGAAAATTTGAAATATCAGGAGTTCAGCGGAACCTACTGCTTTCCCGTGCCACCTTCTCGTACCACATGTTCTCCTGATACTGAATCTAAAAGCCTAGCTAGAAAGACCACCTCGTTCTCCAGATATTCGCTGTTAAACTCCTTTTTGAAAATTTGAAATATCAGGAGTTCAGCTGACCTTACTGCTTTCGCGTGCCACCCACTCGGACGTCATATTCTCCTGATACTGAATCTCAAGTTTTAGCTAGAAAGACCACCTCGTTCTCCAGATATTCGCTGTCAAACTCGTTTTTGAAAATTTGAAATATCAGGATTTCAGCGGAACCTACTGCTTTCCCGTGCCACCTTCTCGGGCCTCATGTTCTCCTGATACTAAATCTCAAGTTTTAGCTAGAAAGACTTCCTCTTTCTGAAGATATTCGCTGTTAATCTCTTTTTTAAAATTTGAAATATCAGGAGTTCAGCTGAACTTACTGCTTTCTCGTGCCACCTTCTCGGACCTCATGTTCTCCTGATATTAAATCTCAAGATTTAGCTAGAAGGACTTCCTCGTTCTCCAGATATTGACTGTTAAATTCTTTTTTGAAAATTTGAAATATCAGGAGTTCAGCGGAATCTACTGCTTTCCCGTGCCACCTTCTCGGACCACATGTTCTCCTGTTACTAAATCTCAAATTCTAGCTAGAAAGACTTCCTCGTTCAGAAGATATTCGCTGTTAAACTCTTTATTGAAAATTTGAAATATCAGGATTTCAGCTGAACTTACTGCTTTCGCGTGCCACCTTCTCGGGCCTCATGTTCTCCTGATACTAAATATCAAGTTTTAGCTAGAAAGACTTCTCCGTTCAGAAGATATTTGCTATTAAACTCTTTTTTGAAAATTTGAAATATCAGTAGATCAACTGAACCTACTGCCTTCGCGTGCCACATTCTCGGACCGCATGTTCTCCTGATACTGAATCTCAAGTTTTAGCTAGAAAGACTTCCTCTTTCTGAAGATATTCGCTGCTAAACTCTTTTTTGAAAATATGAAATATCAGGAGTTCAGCTGAACTTACTGCTTTCTCGTGCCACCTCCACGGACCTCATGTTCTCCTGATATTAAATCTCAAGTTTTAGGTAGAAAGACTTCCTCGTTCTCCAGGTATTCGCTGTTAAATTCTTTTTTGAAAATTTGAAATATAAGGAGTTCAGCGGAACCTACTGCTTTCGCGTGCCACCTTCTCGGACCTCATGTTCTCCGGATACTAAATCTCAAGTTTTAGCTAGAAAGACTTGCTCGTTTTGAGGTTATTCGCTGTTAAACTTTTTTTGATAACTTGAAATACCAGGAGACCAGCTGAACTTTCTGCTTTCGCGTGCCGCCTTCTCGGACCTCATGTTCTCCTGTTACTAAATGTCAAATATTAGCTAGAAAGACCACCTCGTTCTCCAGATATTCGCTGTTAAACTCTTTCTTGAAAATTTGAAATATCAGGAGTTCAGCTGATCTTACTGCTTTCGCGTGCCCCCTTCTCGGACCTCATGTTCTCCTGATACTAAATCTCAAGTTTTAGTTAGAAAGACCGCCTCGTTCTCCAGACATTCGTTTCAAAACGTTTTTTGAATATTTGAAATATTAGGAGTTCTGCTGAACCTACTGCTTTCGCGTGCCACCACCTCGGACGTCATGTTCTCCTGTTACGAAATCTCAAGTTTTAGGTAGAAAGACAGCCTCGTTCTGAAGATATTCGCTGTTATACTTTTTTTTGAAAACTTGAAATATCAGGAGACCCGCTAAACCTACTGCCTTCACGTGCCACCTCCTCTAACCACATTCTCTCCTGATACTAAATCTCAAGCTTTAGCTAGATAGACCACCTCGTTCTGAAGATATTTGCTGTTAAACTCTTTTGTGATAATTTGAAATATCAGGAGTTCAGCTGGACATACTGCTTTCGCGTGCCACCTTCTCGGACCTCATGCTCTCCTGATACTAAATCTCAAGTTTTAGTTAGAAAGACCGCCTCGTTCTCCAGACATTTGCTTTAAAACGTTTTTTAAATATTTGAAATATTAGGAGTTCTGCTGAGTCTACTGCTTTCGCGTGCCACCTCGGACGTCATGTTTCCCTGTTTCGAAATCTCAAGTTTTAGGTAGAAAGACAGCCTCGTTCTACAGATATTCGCTGTTAAACTTTTTCCTGAAAATTTGAAATATCAGTAGATCAGCTGAACCTGCTGCCTTCGCGTGCCACCTCCTCCAACCACAGGCTCTCCTGGTACTAAATCTCAAGTTTTAGCTAGAAAGACCGCCTCGTTTTCCAGATATTCGGTGTTAAACATTTTTTTTTGTTAATTTTGAATATCAGGAGATCAGCTGAACCTACTGCTTTCGTGTGCCACATCCTTGGACCTCATGTTCTCCTGATACTAATTCTCAAGTTTTATGTAGAAAGACAGCCTCGTTCTACAGATCTTCGCTGTGAAACTTTTTCTAGAATGTTTCAAATATCAGGAGATCAGCTGAACCTACTGCCTTCACGTGCCACCTCCTCTAACCCCATGCTCTTCTGATACTAAATCTCAAGTTTTAGCTAGAAGGACCGCCTCGTTCTTCAGGCATTCGCCTCAAAACGTTTTTTGAATATTTAAAATGTCAGGAGGAACTGTGCCTTTGTAGCCTCCTCAGACCTGTTTTTGTTGTGATACAGTTGATTGTTGATAAATCTAATTTCTCTTTCGCAGGAAATATTCTTTGGATTTTTTATGAATTATGTACTTATTACATTAACGGTAATTATTCTTATACTCCTGTTTCTTTTATTGAATATAGAAAGTTTGCTACAATATTAACTACATAAATTTCGTAATTCTTCGCTTGTTATCGTTTTAGAAATAGTAATATTCGGTGTAATCGAAATTTTAATTCACTGTTGAAGTTGTAGTACTTCCAGATATTAATATGTGGAGAACGATAACAATTACCAAGACTCACCGCGTGGAGGTGACTATGCTCGGGTCTCATTATAGTGTGTGTTAAATTTTGCTATTTTATATATTTTTCACGCGAGTTAGAGTGCACGTTTATATCGAATTTAAGCAATCCGTTTAAGAAAGAAGAAGAAGAAAACAATGATATCCGAAAACAATGTAATGATTACTTTTGGACATCGAAATAATTATTCTTGTTAAAAAATTTGCTGTAAAAGACGAAATTGTTTTTGTTGTTATAAATTTAAGCTAGAGTACTTGAAATATCTAATATTATTTAAATGACAATAGTAATATATTAACCTAATGTTACGTATGTAAATGCAAAAAGATAAAGTATCTTACGGTAAAGAATTATAACTATCAAAGCATATCCTGTAGGAGTATGATACTACTCATAGCAATTTCATTGGTATTTAATTTTAGATAATCATGATTAAGTATTAACTCAACACCAAAGAAAGAAAGCCATGCGACTTACCGATCGTTGATCTTAGGATTGCCTCTGATGATTTTGAACATTTCAAACATTCTCAAACTCTCTTCAGCAACGTTTGAACACAGCCCGCAAGTTCACTTTAGCTCACTTTTATTACTTTCAATACTTTCAATCCTTTACTTTTAAATATTAGATAAAGTTTATACCATTAGAATATTCAGAAATACTGTTTAAGTATTCACTTTTAGAATTGAGTCGATGCGTACACGATGGAAGCTCGATTTATGCTGAGCTCTTGTTTCCGTATCGATCGAAATTCACCTAACATTTCGATCGTTAATAACGCGAAACAGCTAATTAAAATTTCTTAGGAATGTATTAGTGACTCGATTACTACAAATGATTAATTAAAAGTTTTATATATTATACTTAGAAATGTTATAAAAGAGAATTTATTGTTTAATTGCTACAAATAAATTATTGCAAATATTAAATAATGTTTAAACAATTAGAATATTCAGAATTGGTATGACGAGATGTGACCCGAAAATGGTAAGAGGATTCCGAGTCTTCCCAAACGTGGACCGAAAAAGTACATTGTATGCGAGGTCTATTCATATAACTCTCCAGATATGAAAACTGATACTTCACTCAAAAATTGAAATTCGAAAAATCAAGTATAAATGCGTCAAGACAACTCTTAACTAAACTTGGCCAAGTTCTACTTATTTTCAAAATGATGAGAAGATGTTTTCTTCACAAGTTTCGAGAATGTTGTTCTATAGACAGCAATATTCAATTTCGTCGAACAAGTTCCAAATGAATAAATGCTAGCCTTTCGTTTCGATTTCGCGTGTAGAACCTGTCGCCTGGCCAATTGCAACACGATTTCGCGGGCGTTCTGTATGTCGTACGACAACTTTAGATCACAAATCAATTGTATGATATTTAACAAAGGAAATGCTGTTAATTGCAGGCAATACGCAGGCAAATGACTGCGTGCCGCGGGAGCTTGATTTCGGCATCGTATGCGTTTGTAATGCAACGTATTGTGACGACACGCCGGATAACAACCCGAGAATCCCAGAGAACGGGTCCGTTTATTGGTACGTTTCGAGCAAAGGTGGACTGAGGCTGAACTTGTCACAGGCGCATTTCAATTCCTGTGAAGCGTCAAACGACACGCCCGTCCTAACCGTAGATCCATCGAGAAGATATCAAACGATCTTCGGTTTTGGTGGTGCTTTTACGGACTCGACGGGAATAAATATCGGGAATCTCAGTCGAGCTGCTCAGGACCAAATAATTCGGTAATTAAACATTAACGAGAAGAGAAATTCTATGAAACATTTGCTAACCATTTTTACAGTCTGTAGTCTGTGTTATACATATGCATAGGCTGTCGACTTTTAACAAATTTTTGCAAAATTCATATTTTCGAAAAGAAAATTTCACGTGTTACAAATGTCATGGAAAGGATCTTGAAAATTATTCGCCGTATTATATGCTGGTACTTCACTGTGTTTTATATGATTTTTCATTGTATTATATATACCCTGTGCAATTTTGCACGCATAAAAATTCGTAAAATAATGCAAAACTGTGAATTACCAACAAATTGCAAATTATAATATATCTGCGAAAGATTCTAAAAAGTAAAGAAAAAAAAAGAATAATATATAAAATCGAATTGATTTCTAATGATTTTCAAGCGAATTAATAGCAGTAGTGCCTTCTGTAGAAGTTAGGTAATTCCCCGCGATTTAATTATACACGTATAAGTATAAGTGTGCTTGAATCGATTGTAGGACGTACTTCGGCAGAAACGGAAGCAGGTACTCGTTAGGTCGTATACCAATCGGTGGAACCGATTTCTCTACGAGGCCTTACACGTACGATGACTCTGCCGACGACGTGTCACTGCGATATTTCAGTCTCGCTCCAGAAGATTACAATTATAAAATACCATATATAAGGAGAGCCATTGAATTAAACCCTGACTTGAGATTCTTCAGCTCCGCCTGGTCAGCTCCAGCATGGATGAAAACTAATCAACGAATCAATGGATTACTTGGTGAGTGTAATGATGCAACGTGTATCGAACACTGTTACGAAACCACGGAGATCCTGTTGCATTGTAATCGATTTTTTCCATATTTCTGTGTTGAAGTGCTGTGTTGTTGGTGTTTTATATATTTTTGTATACTGTTGGATTCCGTGTAATGGAGTCAACACGTTTACAATTTAGAAGAGTTTATTCCCTTACAGTCGTGGTCGTGTATGAAATAGGATGATATACAATGATTTAGAATGTCTTAGAATATGATGAATGTCTAATGCTCTTAACGATATAGAATGATTTAGAATGTTTTATGAGTTAGCGATATTAAATGAATCTATAATGATTTAGAATGTTTTAAGAGAGCGCGATATAGAATGTCTCTATAATGATTTAGAATGTTATAAGAGTGAGAATGTCTCTAAAGCATGTCCTTATATATATTTGGTTATCATCGTCAAGTGGAAGGGGAAGGAGCATAGATGACCAACTATTGGATCTTATGACTAACTATTCACAGTTCACTTTTATGTGGACTATTGCTAGCTTATTGTCAGTATTTGCATACATTCAATATTGTCCGAGTTGGTTATCCAACAATACACGTTCTCTTCGCTTCTGCATTCTTAAACGTTGCACCGTAGATGCAATAAAATAAGATAAAACAAACTAAAATAATATGAAATGAAACGAAACAAATAAAAATCCACGAACCAATTATAATATGTATACCGTAATACTAATTTACAACTGATGTTTAGGCTTCCTGGAAAGAAGATACTATGGGACTTATGTCGACTACTTGATCAGATTTCTGCAGGAATATAGAAACAATGGCATCAATGTATGGGGGATTTCAACAGGAAATGAGCCGTTCAATGCATTTGTACCTTTCGATAGGCTTAACGTTATGGCATGGACACCGAGGACTGTTTCCGAATGGGTCGCTGATTATGCTGGCCCGATGTTAGAAAACTCCGAATTCAACGGGACAAAACTCCTCCTTCTGGACGATCAGAGATTCGAATTACCTTGGGTTGCAGCGATAGTTTTTCAAAATCCGAAAGCGAAACGCTACATTAGTGGCACAGCTGTGCATTGGTATTTCGACCAATTCTTCCCATCGTCGATATTAGATACCACGCACAATCTTTCTCCGGATAAATTCATCCTCATGACTGAGGCGTGTACAGGTGAGCTATTTGTAAATAAGTATTACTATCCTCGCATTGTGGCAATAGTTTATAGAATATATATATATAGAATATATATATATATATATATATTAAATCGTAATAAATTCATTCGCCCCTTGCTGAATATTTATAGAAAATTGAACAATTTTCATTGTACATATATAGGAATCTCGGCTTGAGATCCCAATTTGTAGGAATCCCGGCTTAAGACCCCAAATTTGTAGAAATTTTGTTGAAAGATAGTCGTTTATTTAAGGTTAAGGTTAAATAAAAGAAAATTTGTTTAATGATGATTATTAATTGACGTGTTGCACTATTTTCTTAATTGCTAAACTCGCTAGACCCGCAACTCTCAACTCACTGTCTTCTCTCTGACTTCTAGACACTCACTCTGTTCTCTCTGGCTTCTCGACACTCACTGCCTTCCCCCTCATCTGTACAAAATTCGTCATTCATACACACATACACACAAACGCACCCATACCCTTAATGTCTTAAACGCTAGGCCTGGAGGGCTAGCCATAAACAATGTCCCAGGCCTAATTTTCTCTACAGTTCATGGTACACCACTTGGGACATCTGCAATTGTCAGGCACTGGAGAGAAGTTCTGGGCCCTATCCCAGAATTTGCCCATCCCACACACACACACACACACACACACACACACACATATATATATATAATCTATCCATATTGAATAAAGAAACGTATGGTATGGATAAATGTTGCTTGCAATTGCAAATAAAAATAGAACGAACGATCGAAATATACTCTCCTGAATGATAAACTTCGTATCATTTGTTTTGTTAATTTTAAATTGTTGCCACGGCATTGCAGCATTTTTTGATGAAAATACCACGGAGTCTCATATTGTGCACTGTTACTCTGTACTGTTACTGTTGTTAAAAACTTACGTTACATACAATTACAGCGAGAAATTAATATGTGTGCTTCTGTAGGTAGCGGAATGCTGGATTATCCAAAGGTTGCCTTAGGCTCGTGGGAAAGAGGGCAGGAATACATTTTAAGTATAATAGAGGTAAGGTAAAGAATTATCTTAACTGCACATGAAATGTACAAGTTACTCTTATTTTTTCCCCCCACACAAACTTATCTTTGCACTGTGTTCCATCTCAAGTATATGAACCACTGGGGAATCGGATGGATAGATTGGAATTTAGTTTTGAACAAGCAGGGTGGACCAAATTGGATTGCTAATTACGTCGATGCACCCATCATTGTTAATCCAGAGACTGATGAATTTTTCAAACAGCCGATGTACTATGCCCTTAAACACTTCAGCAGATTTGTCGAAAGGGGCTCCGTCAGAATAAATATTAACAACAATCTTTCTAGTGTAAAATCTACAGCCTTTGTAACGCCATCGAATGAAGTCGTGGTTGTTTTATATAACAGGTAAGTTTGTTGAACAATTAACAATGAAATAACTGTGAAGTCCAGCGCAACAGGGAGTTAGTTATACCTTGAAACTGCTTAATTGAAATTACTGTACCATTTATTTAAAGCGTTATCTAGAAGAATGGCTAATTTATGCTTCCATCTTGTACTCAGATCGAAACAAGAGCGTTGCAAAAACTGTTCTTATTAAAAAATACATATTTTATGTGGAAGCATGTCACCTAACAGCTCATGTTTCTGCACATTTTATTTGACTTAAAAAGAAATTTCAAACTCAATTCGTTCTGTATTATGTGCTTATTTAAGGCACGAAGATTTTTAAGACGTTTCCATCTTGTACTGAACTCTTCAATTGATTAGTTTTCTCTTAGTTTTCAACATTGTTGTTCTTAAGATTAAATTTGGCTTTTCGACTGATTATTAAACATTTATTCACAGAATTTATTTTTTACTTTGCAGAAGTAACAGAGAAGAAGATGTTGTTCTCGAAGATCCGAATAACGGTCCTGTTTGCCTAACGTTACTTCCATACTCCATAAACACCATAATTTACGCACAATGAAACTTGCAACTTGCGTGGGATAAATATTGTTCTATTAATATATCGTACTATATCGCAATTATAAAATATTTTGTTTATTCATTAATGTACAAATATATACATACGTATTAAATATATATAAAATACAAATAAAAATAAAATTGATAACTCTTCGATTTTATTTTACACAAATAATTAATACATATATATGTAAGTGAATACTAACTAGTCTACTAGCGAACAGTTATTTCTGATAAATTTTTGTATGCTGATTACGAAATCCGTTTCTTTTTATCGTCTTCAATTTTTGAAAAATTTAATGTAAAGACAAAAACAAATTCATTTTATTTTTACAAAAATAAAGATATGAAAGAAAGAATAGCATTTTTTCATTTAAGGCTTCATTTTTGAGAAAACCAAATTTCGAAAGGGCATTTCTGAGCGAACATTAACGAGACTGAAATCCTGGATTTCATGTTGAACGCTATTTAATCACTTTTATATTCAATATTCGTTAAAATTTATGAAAATTTTAGTAAATATAACTTTTCGTTTCATATCATTAATTGATCAAAAAAACATTGTTTCTAATGTTTTCGAACTTTTCGCCATATGGTTTTCTCAACTTAACACCTTTGCTTTCAACATGACTGATTAATAGCGTTACACATATGTGCATTTCTGTTATCTACGTGTGACCTGTACAGCTAAGAATTATCAGTCAGCATGTAAGTATGCCTTATTTCGTTTCCCATTGTAATTTATTAAAATAACAAATAGGATATAAATAAAATTCTCATTATAATAGGTCAGAAAAATATTTGCAATCTTTAGAAAAATAAATTATATATTAACAAAATCTATTTCAATAAATAGTTTATTATATACAAAAAAACGCACAGTTTGCATATAAATATTTATAAATATATATATTTATATATATATTTATAGATTTTATCTCTTCTCTAAAATGATCGCAAATAGCAAAAGTAGACGCAATAATACAAATGGAGATTATTCAGAGTAGTAAGAATGTACAATTAAACAAAAACTTTAGCAAGGAACTATTCTCTTCTAAGAGAAAGTTCTTTCTCTTGCAAAAAGTATGATCAAAGTTTTATAGTAGTTAGATGTATTACAATTCCAAACGCTGACTATCTGCACACTTCCGGCTCGTCCAGCGGGAACATCTCGGCGGCAAGCACCCTCGTTGCGAAAGAGTTAATAATGGAATAATTCTGATTAAATTTGAAATTTTATTATTATTTATAATCATAATGTAATAAAATTCCTAAACAGAATAAAGTTGTCAACTACACTTTTTTAATTTTTTTGAACTAATGCCAGTTTATATTTAACTTTCTATATTTAAAATAAATTTGTTAAATGACTTAGCACTAGCTGAAACATTAACTACTAAGTGACAAACGGTCTTTCTTTTTTTACTGTGAAATAACAAATAGCTTGTTTCAAAAACCAACCTGACTATTTCAAAGATATACTATTTTGTACATGTTATATGTTATACTAATATGCCTATATGTACCATAGTATACCTAGTTATACTAATATACGTACCATAGTATGCTTAATAATAAATAATATACATACTTAAATCTTAAAAAGAATTTTAGAAAAGAATGTATAACATTTTATTCATTTCTCTCTTTCTCGTTTGAAGAAGTTAATCAATTTGACAAATGACAGGTCTCTAATTTACATAACGCACGTACGAACAATATATTAAGTATGTACGACACACGTGATAAACAAATGGCATACAACTACTATATAAGCCATGGATCAGTTTACTGCTATTCATGTACCTACCTCCAGTTCAGTTTTTGCTGGCCAACATGGGATACACGTGGACAGCTCTTCTATTATTTACCTTTCTTTTCAACAAAGGTATGTAAAGTCCAATTATTTCCCGTAAAGTGTAAAGTTCCTTCCCGGAGAAACTTCATGGAAATATTTTCATGGACCATAGGTATCGCAAATGACTGCGCACCGTATCGCGTTGAAAACGTCTTAGTTGCATGCGTTTGTAATGCAACGTATTGCGATGGAATACCGGAGAATAGACCGGAAGTTCCGAAAATAGGTAGATCTCACTGGTATCAGTCGAACAGAGACGGTCTGAGATTGAAATGGTCAGAAGTGAACTTCAATGAAAATAATCAAGATTTCTCTGCCGATGTAACGCTGGAGATTGATGACGTAAACAAATACCAAAAGATTTTTGGATTTGGTGGCGCATTTTCTGGTGCTACCGGCTTTCACATAGCAAGCCTGAGCTCAGCCACTCAGGAACAACTGATGCGGTAATCATTAATATTTGCCGAGAGAATATGATCAATATCACTACAACAATTCTGATCTTACGGATATTGTATCTTTTAGTAAAAGTTGCATCAAATATCTCTAAATCTAAATTTAACAATTGGAATACGCGATGATACTTCTTCTAAGCGTACAAATTACGAATCTGTTCTATTAGTTAAGAAAAAAAATGTCACATAAGTATATATTATTGGAAACATTGTCGAAGAGTTAAGACAGAAAAAGAATGTATAGATTTTGACCTATGTAACGACAACGTTTGACCGAAAAGTAACTGTTATTTTATAATAATAACTTTGAATTGTTTATAGAACATATTACCATCCAAAAACCGGAAGTAGATATACACTGGGTCGCATACCCATTGGTTCATCTGATTTTTCCCTAAGACATTACACGTATGATGACACACCCAATGATGTCCAACTTAATAATTTCGCACTCACACACGATGATGAGCGTTACAAGATACCGTTTGCAAAGAGAGCTCATTCGATAAATCCCGACACTAAATTCTTTGGTGCTGCCTGGACTGCTCCAGAATGGATGAAAACCGATAACGGCGGACTTTGTACGTATATAAAAAAATTAAAAAAAAAAGAAATAGCATAAAGAATGATTTATATTAACGATTTTGTAAAATTACTCTAATAATTGTGAAACAGCTTTCTTAAAACAAGAATACTACCAAACCTATGCCAACTATCTGATGAAGTTCTTGGACAGTTATGCAAAACACGACATTCGCATGTGGGCACTTTCAACTGGTAACGAACCGTCAGCTGCCGAAATATTTAAGAACAGCGATGTTACTATGGGATGGACACCTGAAACAATGGCTAACTGGATTGCTAATAACTTGGGTCCAACGCTAACATCATCGAGATCGCATGATACTAAAATTATGATTTTTGACGACGATAAAACGACATTATCCGAGTTTGCCAAGCCAATACTTCGACACGAAAACTCAGAACGATACGTTGCTGGAATAGGTGTACATTGGTATAAAGATGACGAAAGTCCCCCAACAAAATACACATTAAGTAAAATACACAATGACTATCCGCAGAAATTTATTCTTATGACCGAAGCATCCAACGGTAGGTTTTTTTTTTCATGATAGTTAATAATTTCCTATATGCAAGAAAAAGAACATACTATTATACTGTATAATATTTCTGTTTGGTATTCCTTGCACAGGACCTCCAGTATGGAATACTCCGAACGTTACAACGGAATCATGGTTACGAGGTGAAAAATACTTTTTAAGCATATTGGAGGTAAAAGAAGTTACATTATTCTTATGGTTATTTTGTTAAACAATATCTATTCTAATTACGAGGTCAGAAACTAATTGTTAACGAAACATATTTTGTATCAAGTACATGAAACATTGGTCTATTGGATGGGTAGACTGGAATTTGGCTCTGGACCAAACTGGTGGACCAAATTTAGTAAATCTTCATAGTGACGCCGCCATTATCGTGAACAAAGAAAAGGATGAGTTTTATAAGCAACCAATGTATTATGCTATCAAGCACTTCAGCAGATTCATTCCCAGAGATTCTCAGAGAATTTCCATTACCGAAACTAGTACCGTCAGAGCTACAGCCTTCCTTACACCTTTAAAAGAAACCGTTGTAGTCCTATACAATAAGTTAGTCCTAAAAATTGTTTTATTATTATTGCTATTATTGCGTAATTATTAATACTCATTTCAACTGTAAGCAAGTATTTAATTTGATCTTAATTTTCTGTTTTCTATTATCTTAATTTTCAATTCCAGGGCTAATACTACACAACGTGTAGTTTTGCATGATTTGCGAAGAGGTAACATGCAAGTAGAATTATCTCCACAATCTATGAATACTTTCAAATACAAGTAATGTGACTTTCATATACGACGATACCAAATCTAATTCAATACTTTCAAATGCAAGTGATGTGACTTTCTTATACGACGATACCGAATCTAATTCAAAATGCAATTGTAAACGATATTAAACCAAGGAAAATAAAAAAAAAATTTATCCATACACAAAATAGAGCCAATACTTTTTTTAAACACCTCTTCCTGTCAACTTGCCTCAACCAAAGTGATCCACTGGAAATACACTCTACGACAAAACTATTTCTATAAATATAATTGATATTTTGTAAATATTAAAATTTTAAATAATAATTCTCTGTGAAAGATCATATCTTGAAGTAAGCAATAACCATATGTATATATGCAAAAATTCTTTCTTATAATACAGATTTCAGTGATTTTACATAATGTCTTATAGTTTTGTCGCACAATGTAGGCTACTTTAATATGTTTCGCTTAATTGATGGTACTAAAGAATAGATTATATTTACACATACATCTTAAACTTGACATCTTAAATAAAAATGATAAAAATAGTCCCTTAAAATACACAACTACATACTGTTATGTAGATAGAAATTAAAAAGACTACTGAATAAATTTAAATTTATGTAGTATAATAATATTTTAATTAGAACTTAACCAATCTATTTGGTATTATTAACAAATTTTATATTCAATATATAAATTTATATTCAACATACATAATTTTACGCATCTGGATAATATTGCTTCGCAAAACGGCCTATTTTTTTCAGTTTAGGATTTTCTCTTAAACATTTTGGTACATAACGCGGTGCATGCTGATTTAATCTTCGTTTCATACCCGACCAACCAAACTCCCATGGGTCACGTTTCTTATCCATAGGACGAGTCTTGTTATCAATCTTATATATTTTCTGCCAATGATATATTTCAGGTTTTTTTCTATAAAACAGTAGGAAATAAATGACTTTATGTGAATAAATATAAAATTAAATTATAATAAATTTTTAACTTTCGATTCGCCAAGCCGGGTCACTTTTGATCTGTGCTGGTTTTTTGTGCTAATTGTAAGTAAACAAAAAATCATAAATTTATAAAATATTATCATTTTTTTTTTCCTTTCCATGCACAGTATAAACGTTATTAGATGATATTTAGTATTCAATCAAGTATTCAATTTCAATATGTAAATAATTCAAAAGTGACTTGGATCAGCAACCTCTGGTTATTAAATTTCTTAATATAACAGATTATGTACGTACACATGTCTTGGTCTATTAGACATAAGGTGTTTAAATGTCGATTCCAACCATGTTCTTTGTTCAACATCAGCAATATCCGCAATATGTTTCACTGATTCGCCTAAATATGGTGTCATGTATTCATTCTTTTGTTCAGGTCTATTTATATAAAATGTGATCAATGTTTTTAAAACATCTTCATTGAATCCATAAACTTTCCCATCCTCTACTTTTTCAAACAATGGCATTGGTTCTGTTATCCAACACATATTACGCATAGGATTATTGTCTGCATATTCTGAATGTGATAAAGTGGTATTCAACTGATATACACAAAATGACCAATATTGACCATTTGTCAAAACTGTTTGTGCTACTAATGGATATGTTACATCTTGAACTGTAGTAAAGCCTAAAATTAAAAATTATGAGAAAAAATGACATAAGTTGTATACAATAAGATTCTTTCAAAGTAAGAATGTTTGTTTAAAAAAGAAATATTTTCACATAAGTCAATACCTTGATAAACAGCTTGAGATAACAACCAACTGTAAGATGCAAAAATAGCTTGCACAGTAATTGCTTCCTTCTCTTTATATGCTGAATGAAAGTACGATTTGTTTGTACTGTGATAAGACAATAAACCAAATTCAGCAGCATCACCAGGCCAAAAACCAGGTATACAAGTTGCATGCCTATATGAAAACCTATAACCTAGTACTCTAGGATCAAATTCGAATTTGGGAATAGTTAATTCTGGATTTGCACAATCTATTGGCGAAATAACCTCCCGTAGAGGAGATGAATGCCTTAGTTGTAAAATTGGAGAACCAAGATATTGAACAGGTATGTTTATTGGATCATCTGCATATTTTTTTAAATATTTTATCCTTCTTCTTTGTCTTTTGGCTATAGGTGAACGTTCTATGCCACCTGCGAACCAAAACGTTTCTATTCTAGGTTCAAAATCTATTTCAGTATCCAACAAATGTGTTTGTATTGAAGACAAAGCAGCCAACATCATTCGATTGATTTGAAAAACAACTGCATTTGTAACAGCATTTTGTATTATTTTCTCTTTGTGTAGCTCTTCATCTGATATGTATTGCTCCCTCCTATAATATATATATATATGATATTAATAAATTATTTAATGAAATTAGCCTAATTTTGTGAAATACAAATTCATTTAAAAATTATCATTATTATACTCACAATCTATGACAATATTCAAAAATAATAATATCTTCTATATATTTTTTCATATTCTGTGCCAAACTATTCAATTCTTCAGTTGTAATTAGAGAGTTATAAAATTCAGGTAGTTTATTATCATTCAAAACGTGAGTATGCGTGATATACTGAGCATGATTCAATGAATTGTATGGGACGTTTCCTTCTTCTAAATATAATGATTTCCAACCATAATAATGTGGCATATTTAAACCAATTAGCTTTTCCTCTACAGTTTCTATTTTTTTAATTTTATTATACCAGACATCGTCTTTTCTCCTTATTCTGGCACGATAGGATAAATCCGATATAGGAGGATAAATTACATCTCCTGTTTCTTTTAATGTGTCTACTGCATACTTTCTTATAACAAATTTCAAAATATTTATAGAACAATTTGGCAAAGATTTCTGTAACCCTGTATACATCTTAAAAATCACTGAATGTAATTAATTATGGTTCTCAATGTAGTCAACTACAATTCTAATTTATCTATGACTACTAATTTACCTGACTGCTGTGAGATGTCGCTAAATGACAATTTCTGTGAATTGTTCCTAGGGAAAAGGAAGAGTGAGTCAAAAATTCACGGACTTTAATATCCCTATGCCTGCAAGCAAGATGCAAAAATCCATAGATCAATGAAAAAAATCCCAGGAGATTGAGAGTTTAAATTCTCCTGAAGTTTTAAGAAATTGTATGACTTATTTATTATTTTTGTTCACATATATTTCCATCAAGCGTATATTTAAACTAATAGCATTGACTAATATAGAATTATATAAAATAGCATATATAAAATAGTTGAACTCTATATATTATCTTATAGAGATAAGATATTGGTAAGATATATTGGTAAGATAGAATTGAAATAGTTACCTAAGAATACACTACATAAAAGTTATATAGTCATAGACTTAAGCGTTTGTATGACGGTATAATTAATCTTGTGACAACAAAATTTTAATTTTGTTACAAATAATTTCAGTTGAAATCCTAATTTGCGATTTGCGTGTTTTGTAAATTACTTTAGTATAGACATATACATGAGTATGTATATAATACATGAATTAATGCAGCCAACGTACACATTTTAATCGTAGTTGTTCCAGAAATTTACTTGAAATTCAAGATCTTAATACTCTAAATTTAATATACGATACACAACTGTTCAAGACGTGCTAATTCAAGATCTTAATACTCTAAATTTAATATACGATACACAAGTGTTCAAGAAACGTTTTATTATTAAAATGAGTTAACTGAAGTGAGGTTAGGACGAAAAATGCGGAAAGCAATGAGAAAGAAGGCATTCAGCGGTAAAGCGAAGAAACAGCAGCTGCAAGCTAAGAAACAAAGACAAAATTCAGCTTTATTTGGTATGTATAATATAGTAATGAAATTATAATATAGTAATGAAAACAGTATGTTTTATATTAAACATTCGAAATAATTAACTTTGTGTTGCAATTAATAGGTGAAAATTACAATGAAGATAAAGATTGTAGTAGTTTCGGGTATAATGCTGTACAAAAGCGAAAAAATTATGATTCCTCCAGAAATAGATATTCATTACAATTCTTCCAAGAGAGTAAGGAAGAATTACTGAAACGAAAGGAACAAGCTAGAAATACCATTGAACCTTTATCTCTCAGGGATCAGGAAGTTTCAAGTAATTATTTTCCACTTGAAATTGACATGCCGAAGAGACCACCATGGGAGTTCAACATGTCGAAAGAACAGTTAGAATTGAGAGAACAGAAATATTTTACTGTAAGTGAATTGTGGTTTTCATTTATGTTTATCCACGTATAAATGTAATATTAATTATAATAATATTTGTTATTTTTAGGAATATCTAAGAAACATGGAAAAATTAAGTTCTGTCAGTTATTTTGAATTAAATTTAGAAACTTGGAGACAATTATGGAGAGTTCTTGAAATGTCTGATATTTTATTAATCATTGTTGATATTAGATATACTGTTTTAATGTTCCCTCCATATTTATATAAATATATAACAAATGAATTAAAAAAGGATATGATTTTAGTATTAAATAAAGTTGATTTAGTTCCTCCAAGCTTAGTAATAGCATGGAAGGAATATTTTCATATTATGTATCCAAAGTTACATATTTTGATGTTCACGTCATATCCTACTTATAATTTACGTGGAAATGTCAGTGAAACAGAGGCAATAAAGCAAAGACGTAGGAAGGGAAAACTTAAAATGGCTGCAGAAGGAGCTCAGAAACTGTTGGATGCTTGTAAAGAAATTGTTGGAAATAATGTTGATTTAAGTTCTTGGCAAAATAAAATTCAAGAAGAAATGCAAATGGAATTTGATTTAGACGACATTGATCATAAAAGTAACATTACTATAGAGAAAGAAGACACAAGTTATTTCAAGCATGAAAGCTATAAAAATGGAGTTTTAACTATTGGATGTATTGGAACTCCGAATGTTGGTAAATCATCTTTAATGAATGCATTAATGGGTAAGTAGTATTTCTTTATAACACAACTACATTTCAGAAAGTAATAATGTTTAAATATTTATTAAATATCTTTTATAGGGAAAAAAGTTGTTAGCGTGTCACGTACACCAGGACATACTAAACATTTTCAGACTATATATCTTACAAAAACAGTTTGCCTCTGTGATTGTCCAGGATTGGTGTTTCCATCTATGGTGCCTAAACAACTACAAATTTTAATGGGATCTTTTCCGATAGCCCAAGTCAGAGAACCATATACGTCAATTAAATTTCTAGCTGAAAGAGTAGATTTGCCAAAGATACTTAAATTACAACATCCAGATAATGATGATACATGGTCCGCTATCGATATTTGCGATAGTTGGGCTTCTAAGCGAAATTTTGTTACTGCACGAACCGCTAGACTTGATTCTTACAGAGCAGCTAATTCATTATTAAGAATGGCGCTTGAAGGGAAAATTTGTATGTACATATATCCTCCGGATTGGACTATCAATAAAGGTAATCACGAGAATTGTTGTTATGAATAGCTTATTCATTTCTAAAATAATTTGTTTCTATTTCGTAACAGAAAAGTGGGAGAATCATTCAGAAATTGAATTAGTTAGATGGATTCAAGCTAGAAATAAAGATGAAGATGTTAACAGTGCGGAAAAAATATACACCTCGTCCGAAGATGAAAATGATGAAGAGGAAAGCTTAGAAACCCAAAAGCATCAAAAGAAAATATCAAAAATGACATCCGATAGTTCCGATGATTCTAGTGAAATAACAAGCGAAGAATCAGAAATATCATATGCAGCCAACAAATTTGAAGCATTATCAACAGATATGTAAAAAGTTCGACTTTTAGTTAGTTTTTAATAATCTTTTATTCATTTTTTGATACACATCATACATCTATCTTGAATTATCTATTTACAACGAAATAGAATACAATATTTCTAACGAAATATTTGACAAGTAAAAATAGTATATGCTATATATATATGCAGTGCGTTCGCGATATTATTGATCAATGTTTTTCTCATTAATGATAAACTTTTGAAAGAAGTAAAAGAGGAAAAAGTTATAACATGACGTATGATGACGTATTTCATACTATTTTTTATATTTACATGTTGTTCAAGAAACGAAAGTGACTTTTAATTCTTCAAATAGAATGATACATTTTTGATTCCATTAATTGATACAATTTGATATTCTTTAGACAAAACATCTAAAAAAATATTTTTTTTACAACTTTTTTCAAAAACTTATCATTTACGAGAAAAATGCTGGTCAATAATACTGCAAATACTCTATATATATAATGTATTATTGTTCTGCATCTAATAATTCCTAATTATTTATTGTACTGCTTTTTATATATACATTAGCTTTTATTACTGTTTCGTTGGTCCACTATACAGCGATTATTTATTAGAAAGATCTCTAGAAGCACAATTAGTTTTTATTTTGATATTTAGAATTGTTTGCAAAAGGAAAAGATATTCGAGTTGTTAGCTAAAAATTCATAACTATTAGACAATTTATATTTTGAGGCCTATCAAATTTATGTGGTAAAATGTAGCACAAAATAAATATTAAATGAAAAAATAAGCTTTCTATAATGTTTATTATAGCTATTGTATGTTTATTATAGCTTTGTTAATTAATAACAAAGTTAACTTTGTTAAACTTTGAAAAATTCAAAGTTTTACCTATAAAATTAAGTGATAATGTAATTGTAAAGTTACTTCTGTGTTGTTTCTTATCAAAATATTATCTTTTATATTCAAAATATCATATGGTATATATATACCAATAATATTTGCAAGTGATATTTCTAAGCTCCCAACAACTTTTTAACAGAATAACCAGGTATTGCGTAAAAGAACAATAATATAAGTATTATTAATCCAATTGCTACGATAGCTTTTAGAATTGCCCACTTATAGTTGTGCCATACTATATATTTAATTGATTTCAAGGGATTCAAAAACCACATGAAAGATGCATCAGGTCGACTGAAAAACAAGGCAATTAATGATATATTTTTTTAAACGAACGATTAATCAATTGATTATTATTATCATTGTCACAAGTAATTGTATAAAAAATAACGATAATTTTAGATTCAATATTACAAAATTTTCAAATAAGTCATAGCGAATTCATGTTATATTTCAAACATACGCTTTAAATGAATTGTTGTTATACTTACTTTGGTTTGTCAAGCGGATCCGGTTCGTTTCTTCCAAACCCTGCAGGATTTTTCTCAGCCTCTTCTTTGGTTAATAAGTGAATTTCAGCTTCGACTTTACCCTAAATCGTTTACATTATATTTTCAATGAAAAATATCTTCAAGTCAGACATTAGAGCGAATATGAATTGAAATTTACCGTTAATTCCATATCTTCGTTTTCTTTTTTAACATAGAAAGGCCACCAACCTTTTATTCGTTTCTGTTTGAATATATTTACCGTTGGAACAGATCCATCAGTCTTTAGCATACTTAACGTGCAAAGTTTGCTGTTCTTTGCACCACGCGGGAATCGATTTAAATCTAGAGTAATAGCACCCAGAAAATCATCGGCTGAGAAGTGATCTGCATCCCAGACCTGTATAAAATGTAAATTACAATTAAAATGTATATTTAAATGATCTTTCTTCTTTAACTAATGTATTATTATTTGTAACTCTAAATTACAATTAAAATGTAAATTATAATTGAAATAAATGTAAATTACAATTAAAATGATCTTTCTTTTTTAACCAGATTATCATTACTTGTAATTCCAAACGAGCAGGTATTTTGCATTCAGTTTCATCCCAGCTGAACAGACTTTCTTTCCGATTAATAACAATCTTCTCTTCCGCTACGAGATAATCGAATGGAAATATAAAGCGCCAATTGAAATTGCCTTCTCCGGTTAAAGATCGATAATGGATATCTGTTGATTGGCAATCTTCTGGACCCTTTAACCATCTAACGAATCGAGATAAAATTCTTAGTAGTAGTAAAACTATATATATGTTGCAAAACTATTGTTAGTATTCAAACGCAAGATACGCATTGTACAATGTTAAGTACACATTATATACGAGTGTATAAATTATATACATAGAACAAACAAATACACATAGAATACCCTTTAACATAAATGTCGCTCATCTTTTCGCCAGTGAAGAATGCATCATCTTCCAGTACAACGTCGTCGGTGTTCCATATAATAATCCGAAGTTCGTAACTTTTAGGCTTTCTCGGCGAGATATCTATCGACGGTCCTGGTGATGGCATGTCCATGGGAAACATGTCGACCCACATTTCTAATTTTCCTTGCTCGATCCCTGGTTTTTCAGGATTATAAAGTGGACGTGTTTCTACATGCTCTGGGACCAAAGCGCAACCGATTCTTGGAAAAGCATGCCACTGATGAAGGACTGCCAATGCAAGATGTTCTTCTATACCTAAAAAGATAAACGTTTCAACGTTTGTAACACTAACTGTAAGAAACGTTTTACAATATTAATTGTAAGAAAATCAATCGAAGTACGCATTTAACAAAATAATCAATCGCTGTTAGACTATAGAAATTGAAAAGATCTTGAACCATTTTCGAAATATCGATACCCTTATTTTGCACATGGATTCCTAAAAATTGACTATTGCGTGGAGATCGTTACCTTTCGTATGAACATAGCATTCCATTTCCTCATTCGATAAAGAAAACGTCTTTCTTCCGATTGTTACTTTCCCGTGCGAATATACCGGCCCGTCGATCTTCCCTTCTTTGCAAAGTTTCAGTAAGATTTGCGTCGGTTTCATCGCGTCTCTCCATTTGTTGTAACCAGACCTGACAACCAGACATACCGATTATTTCATTTCGGAACATTCTCGTTCAAAAACTTACTCGTCGTATTTTTTGGCTAGTCCGCAAGTGGCACGGTGCCTGCTGTAAAATCGATTTTCCAGATCGATTTTCGTTTCACCGATCATGTCGTCCGTGCCGACCAAGTCCCAGTCCAACACCTGAACCGTCAGCAACGAATCCTGCGGGAAGGTTGCTTCTATCTCGAAACACCTTGCAAACAAAATGAATTTATCGTAACATCGCACAGTGGTCCGCTTTGCCGATTTGGGTGACTAAAATTAGAAACACCTTCATATATAATAATAGTAATTAATTACAAATATAAATTATACGCATGGTGTTTCTTAAAATTATCTACTTTGAATTTTTAGTAATAGTCATTTGTGACCTACTCGAGAGTCAAGTTTGACTGAAGTTTGATACAAAATTGATTTTCAACCAAATGAATCGCTGTACATTGTGATGGTACGCGATCAAATCGATACATACTTGCCAAATACGGGATTGAGCTGCTTTGACACATAATTCTCTTTGTCACTGATCCTTTTGCCACCCAATTGCAAGACCACATAAGGATCTGCTTTGCCATTCAGATCACAAGGATGAAGATCGTTTGCCTTGACGATGTACACTCGTACCAATACGTGAATCGGTTCGTTCGAAGGTACGCCTTGGAAAAAGCCATACTGCGGATCGAATCCCATCACCGTGTGATCGATCAAATCTTTGGGGAGAGGCCATTTGTAAACCTTCAAGGCTCCTTTGAAGCTACCGACTATTCGGGACTCGTCCTCAGGCTCGTCCCCGGTTTTCTTCCCTCTGTAAAGCTCGAACGTGTGCAGCCATTCCTTGAACTGCTCAAACTCCGGCTGAGCTTCCAGTTCGTTCGGATACACTTTCAACAGCGCCGTTTTCGGGAACTTCTGGTAGGAATGCTTCGAAACGAACCTGGCCGCATTCGCCGTCGACTTTAGGCCAAACAATCTTTTCGCTGTAACGCCAGGACTCTTCTCGCCAGACAGATTCGCTTGATTTTGACCGTAATTTTCCTCCATGAACGTTGGAACGGTGCCGTTTGCTTGTGTCTGAAACATTGGTTTCTCCCTGCGTAGCTCCTTGTTTTCTTCTATCATAACTTCGACAGAAGCAAAGTATTTCGTCCACCAGTCTTGACAACCGTCCTCGTCGTCGAACGTACTGAAATCACCTGGACAGAATTCATTCGGATCAGCGCTGTAACGTTACCATCTGTGCTTTATATTTTATTTAATATAGTGCATACCCATACTTCCATCGTTGGCCAAGCTTTGCTTCTTCTTAATATTCTGTTCCGTTTTGTCTTTCTTCGTTGGCCAACCAGGCTCCAAACCGAGAGTAATAATCACGTCTCCAATAACGAACTCGAGATCGGTTAATGACTCTGGTAAAGATGGATAATGTAATTTAGTCTTCGATGTATCGAAACCTGACACAGAACAGAACAATTAGCGAAAGCAGATAGATGTACACAAAGTGTTCGTTTATTCATTTATGGAACTTCCATCGATAATAGATTTAATTGATTCTGAACTCAAAATCACTTTACCTGTGTATTGCTGCAACTGATACAAATTCTTCTTTCTCTCTTCGACGTCCTTCGCTTTCTTCGTTTGCGGATAATACATATATTTATGGATCGAATTTATCGTGTGCGTTCCAACGAGAGTATAACGGCCGAAACTTCTGCAATCTACAGCCCTGATGGTCAAAGGTGGCCGATAGAGCTCCTGCTCCGGTAGTTCTAGTTCCAAGAACTTCACCGGTGTGTTGAAATTTGGATTTTTCCTAGCGTTTGTTATAACCGAAGAATAGAGGATGTGACCAGCACATTCGACGTCTACTCGAGGCTTGTCCACGGTCATTAAATGTATCCTCTTTAAATCCCTTAGACCCCAAAACAAAACCTCGATCCTGCCACACAAGACAACAGCGCGCGCTATTCTTAATTCAATTTTTGTTATTTTTAAATTGCTTCTTTGAATTATCGTCATCTTTTAATTTTAATTATAATCGTATGATGATAATTATAACTATATTTTTCTTAATTAAATTTTCGTTTCTATTGTTTTTTCAACTTGGTTTAATTAATTTATTTATTAAACAAAAGAGTAACTAATGCACAGATGATAAAATTACCGATTATAAGTTAATTATAAAAATTAAAAGTAATTACAAGTCAAAGTTGAAAATGAAATTATTGTAAAATGGATAGAAGTAATTACCGATATTTGGAGAGAGTTGGTCGGATACCAACCGGAACCGGAAGAATAGGTCCCCGATCCTGAGCAGCGATGGACGTTTGGCTTGGCATTTCCTTCGGATCCGGCAACGTGGGAAAGCCATAATCCTTCGCCGACGGATATTCGAGTAACTCGAAAACGGCAAGAAGTTCACCGGCTCTTGCAACACCTCTTGTTACATCGTACCATTCTAACGACGGTGGAAATTTGGGTGGCGTATAAGATTCTGAGGCAAGTTTCACGTGAGGTCGTGCAACAGCCCGACCTATGTACTCCGATTTCCCCTGAAACCGTCATGCATTCACTCCGTTCAATTTCTATCTATCATCCTATAAATGTTCTAGTTTTCAATTGTTTCCTGTTTCCAGAAATAAATTATTCAATAATTTGCGTAATTTATTATCGGGTATCGACTTTCTTCCCTCTGTTTTCCAAGAATTTTTAAAAGTTCTCTCTTTCGGGAAACGTGTAAATCGCAGTGTACTTATCTCTAAGTTGTTTGTTATACTAATAAAGTTACTGCGCGACTTCTTTTATTTTATCGACGAATATTTTCTGAAACGTTACGAACATACTCGTGATAATTACGAGTCACTTCGATTTTATAACAATTTTAAAGGAGCCAAAGGTTTGGATATATTTTTATATTTCATACTTAATTCAATATTTCGCTACAAAATATTTCGGCATTCTCATAGTGATAATTAAAAAATAACTCAAAAGTTCTTTTAAGTTTTCGTCGCAAGTGTGTGATATTAGAAATGTGTACCAATATCAAAAGATCTCTGTAATAATTTTATGCAAGAACATGCCCCCAAACTTCTGGCCAGTAATACAAATCGACGTCAAAAGAATAAAATGCGTAAGCGTGTGTTTCTGCGTATGAATGTCGTATATCGTATACAAACTGTTAAAGCAGAGCCCTCATGCAGTGTTATGTCCATAGTTACAAAATGACTCTGAAAACAAAAGAATCAGAAAAGAATGAGAAAAACAATTGTAATCGCACAATTTTCTTTACGTCTTTAATTAAACATTGTATAGCAACGAAAAACAAAGCGGAACGTATACTGGAGAAACTCTCCATCGTGACATACCACTTTGTCTTGATCAAAGAGTTCGATGACAATTGACGGTGGTTCCTTCTTAATTTCTTCGTCAGTCCCATAGATTAAGATGTCGTCGAAGAGAAGAAGTTCGTCCCACGTTGGACTCAAAGTTTCGTCGATCACTTGAGTAGATTTGCAAAATTCGCCGCAAATAACTCTCGCGAAGGGGTCGGAGAGACCAGATGCATCGCTGCCGATCAAAGATCGGGCCTGATACATGTGCGCTCTTAACTGGAACTTCTACTCAATGATCAAGTTATTTTAATAACAAAATAAAATGGATAACAGGATCGACAGTTTCGACGTTTATAGCTGCGATTATATATATACGCCCGTATACATAGATGAACGAATTAAATACCTCAAAATAAATGAAAGTGATATAATATACATATACTAATCGTTTGATTTTATGAGAAGTATTCAGAATATTCAGACGGATTTTAATAGTATATTCTTTTCTTCTAACAAATTTAACAAATGAAAGATTAACAAATTTTTAATAAACGATTGTTCAAGAACTAGTAATAATCGATCAATTGTATGTCTATTTTTTCTATTTTTTGTACAACATGCGTCACAGAAATATGTATCTCAGATGAACAACAATACATTGTCCCTCAAAAATTAAGAGCGTGTTATATGTATATTTTATATTAAAAATTCATGATATTAATATATATGATACACATACATATGATATTATTATTTTCCTAAAATAAATATAAGTGTTTTATATGATATTAATATTAAATAAATATAAATGTTGAAATTTATGATTAATTACATTTACAATAAAAATAAAACATTCGTATTTCCCCAAGAGAAACGTGTGAAAAGATTTATTTCGATTAAAAAGAGAAGAGTGCTCCAAACTTCTGAGCCAGGGTCTATATAGGCGTATATAATATTAACCGTAGCCTAAAAACTCTCGAATTAAATACGTACGTGTTTTTCAACGTAATGAATAATAGTCGGTGGTAACGCGCGCGGCCTGTCCACGTTTTTCAACTCGTGACTAAGCTCGTAACCCTTTTGCAAACCTTGCGTGAAGTATTTCTTATGCTTCAAGATGCCCAGCCACATGTAAATTTGTAATTTCGTCTGTATCGCCCAGCCTGAAGGTCCGAATCGTTTCTTCCCTGGAAGCTGTCGATCGATTTCTATCATTATTTATTACAAATTCATAAATGCAAAATCAATTGCACGTCTTGCATACAAGAATATATATTAACGGCAAATTATTTTCACATATATATATTTTTTTAAACTTTCTTCCCTCGACCAAAAATATCTCCTTTCTAACTTATCGTTGATAGAAAATTAACTATCAACTCCATCATTCAATTGCCTTGATGAAACGTAAGGTAAGATAAACGTACTTTAAGAAACATGGTTTGAACTTTGCCGCAATGTCTGCCACATTCTTCATCGACGATCGAGTAGATCAAATCCCTTCCGAGTATTCTGTGGTACGCGATCCGACGTCCGGAACTGATCACCCAGATGAAAACATCCGGTAAAGAATCCTGAGGCTGAAAATCGTGTTTAACGATAAAATGTCCGAAGGAAATGTTTGCAAATGATGATCTTGAACAATCAATCACTCACGTCCTCAACGAGAAACTTCAGTTTCTGCAAATAGCCTTGAGCGGTCTTCAATCTTTCCTTGAAACTACTCTTAGTGACGACGGCCTTGAGATTTCGTGACATAATTCCTATATTCTCCAATTCCCTCTGACACAGTTTCGTTCTCTCTTTATCGAGTTTCGTCTTGCCAACACCGGGACCGGTGACACTCGATTTACTGATACTGACATATCGGTTGCAGTTGCTGCTCAATTCCTCCAATGCAGCCTTCAAAATTTTCTCGCCTGAACAGTCGTCCGCGTGCGACTGAGCCTCCGATAATCCTTCCTCCTGTCGTGAACAGCGAAAGAACTCGGTCAAAGTGAATTATTCGACAATAAACTAGAAACGTTCGCACGGTACAAAAATCTACGCAATGTCAGTTAAGTTTCAAATATTAAATAAAATAGAAATTTCAAACGTATGATTTCAATTAAAGTATAAGGAATATTTTAGATTAATTTATGGATTTTAATTGAAGTGTAAGGGATATTTTAAATTAATTTATGGATTTTAATTGAAGTGTAAGGAATATTTTAAATTAATTTACGGATTTTAGTTAATTCAAAATATTTCTTACACTTGTTTAAAAGCACATATAACTAAATTGAAAACACGATTCTTATGACGATCTACACAATTAATATATGTACAGTAAAGCAAATAAGACTTGTTTGTAACTATTTGATCAAAAAATTCATACTTTCATTTACTGTCATATAATTTCCTTCTTTTTCTTTAAATATCAGCAAACATACATACATATGTAGACATTCACGACTTACCAACTTATCGGAAATCCTGCTGATTATATTGCTGTTGTACATCCTGCGTCTGTAGTCGGGCCAAATACTTCTAACGTGAAGGCAAGGCTTATCATCCCAGTATGGCAAAAAATAATAGATTTTGTCGTGCGTCATCGGTTTACAAGCTGGCGTTGTACTTTGCCAGGATCCGCTCAACACTTCCTGCAGCTCCTCTTGATCGCCGCTCGTTCCACTTTTTGGTCCCATATCGCACATCTAACAGCAATCAATCATAATAAAAATCATTTAATTGTCATCGTTCGTTTTCTTTTTTTTTTTTTTTGTGCTTTTTCATTCGTTGAATGCATTTTAATCCAAGAAATCCGATGGATGGTCCTATCGATGCACAAATGTGCGATAGGATTTAAAACAGTTTGCATTACGATCCTATTTGGATCATCCTATGATGGATGATCCTGTGAACCAAATATTTTAACATCCGAATGCACTTTATTCGAATACTGTTATCCGAACAGAATATTTATTAATAATAAATGTCTTTTCTTCTGCTAATTTATTTATTATTACTACATGTTTCATAATTACAGAAATATAAAATACAAGCTTTTATTAAAAAAAATAATGCTGATAGAAGATATAAGAGAATCAATGAATCAATATTTCATTTATGAGTATGGAAGGTGTCATCTTATGTTGGAATAGTCTTCTTATTTACAAAAGGACTTTGATTATGTTGATTAAAATAAAATATAAAAAGTAAGCAGTTCAGCAGGAATGTAGCATTCTTTAATATACTAAACAATAAACTAACTAAATAACTAAATAAATTAATTAATAAACTAATATACTAACAATTCTTTTAATCCCCATTTTGATAAATGTAATTCGCTATCATTGAAGTGACCTTTGTTATTACTCGAGAATTTCATTAACCAAATACTTCTATCTCCCCATCAGTTTGAATGTAAGAGCTTTACTATATTTCGAATTCCCATTGTACATTTGACGACAAATTTGAATTGCTTTGAATATAATTCGATTATACATTGTCGAAACTCTTAACAAGCCCTGAAAGTTTCGAGAATTTAGAAGAGTCTTGAACCTCTTGAGAATTGCGATAGAATTTAATAGCGTGATGAGTATTAAATATTTTACGAGCTTTTCAATTACTTTGCTTCAAACCCTACCACAGACATGAAATATTAACACACTTCGTACGTTGGTTTCTGGTTGTTCATAAATATCTCGAGTCGATATTTTGACTTTCCTGGATACCTTTTCCCATTTTCAACGTTACCAATCATCTATGCCAATTTTTTCTATGTATATCTCTTTTGTATCACCTAACAGACAACTATCAAGATTTTCAAGACACTCCAGAAAAATTAAAAACTGAAAATTTGTCAAAACTATCAAGAGTTCTTATCGAATGTAATTCGAGGTAGGTCAAATTTTCCGACATGTATACAAATTTCAGATGATTCGAAGTAATCACAACGTACGAGCCATACCTTGGAGCTTTCGTTGTGTCCGTCCAAAGCATTCCCCGCGTTGCCGATCGATAATTCGAAATACATTGGTTTGTCGCCGAGCTTCTTGTCGATCATCGTGGCATCCATTATAGTGGCAAAAAGAAAAAATTCCTCGTTCCTGGCATAAGCGGATTCGTTGACGGATATCGTCGGTTCCACTTCAACCTCCGACGGGGCCATTTCTACGTTGTCGCTTATTTCTGTTCTAATAGCTATTAATAATCTAGAGAAGCAAGACGATAGTGCGATTAATATTTCGATTCTTCGACTCTAGGCGATAGAATAACAGGGTTTACAATTCTAGAACTCCTGAGGTTCGAGCTGAGTGAAATTAATGTTGTCAGTAGACTCTGAATTATTTTTGAAAAAATGCAGCCTACGCTATGCTAAATATTTATGGAAAATTGGAATAATTCACAATGTGTATAATATGCAAAAATACCAAAGTAGAGTGTACTATATAGCAAACTCTATAATATAATAGAGTAAACTATAACATATATAATATAGTTTACTCTATAATATATAGAGTAAATTACAATATATATAATATAGTATACTCTATAATATATAGTAGATAAGAGAAGTTTTTTTTTTAGCGAAGATCGTAAAAATTTTAAAATAAAGAAAATCAGCATTCTGTACATAACTCTCGTTCTCTACTTCCGATATTTTATACATTTTACGTATTATATTATAAAATATACTCATATATTTTATACATTTTTGCACGTTGTAAATTTTCCATAAATACATAAAAATCCACAGTCTAGTTCTAGAGTTCCTTGACAGAGGAGAAACGAAATCGAGTCACAACCTTGCTCTGTAAGAAATTCCTTCCCCCAATCCAGCGTTCAACGTGGAGTGCTTGTCTATAATACTGTAATCCCTAATACTTCCGTAGAAATGAATAAAAGCTGGCCCAAAGGTTGGTAAAAATCCCTTCTCGCCGTCGTTGCTGATTTGCTTCAAATCGACAAAATGCGTACCGATGACGGTCGCGTGAACCGGATCGTCGTCGCATAACTGAATTTTAATCCTCTGACAGAGGGGCGGGAACATTTCCGTGAAAATGATCTGTTCGTTCCAAACTGGCGCGTAACTGTGCCTCTTAACGCTCGTCTTACCCTGAAAATAGAAAAATCTGTTACACATATGGACTGAAAGCTAAAATTAAAGCGTAGATACAGTGACGAACAAAGGAAAGTTAGACTGATATTTTACATACGTATATATTGAATATTTTTCTTTTTTATATCAAACGCCTGTATATTCCAAGACATTTACAGATATTATACATTCATTTCTTTTGTCATACCTAATTCAGTTTTATAAGATTTTACTTACTGTTAACATCTTACAATTTTTCTATGTACCATCTAGATCTACAAATTTTTTTCTGATCAACTTTGTGATTGTTAACTCTTACAGTTAATCCGGCGAAAGACACTTGAACGTATGGGTCATTATTAATTATATATACGGAAACTGAAAGCTAAAACTAAAGCTAAAACTAAAGAGTAGATACGGTGACAAACAAAGGAAAGTTAGATTGCTATTTTATATACGTATATAATGAAATCTGTATTGAATATTTTTCTTTTTTATATCACACGCCTGTATATTTCAAAACATACAGTTACAGATATTATACATTCATTACTTTTGTCATATCTAATTCAGTTTTATAAGATTTTACTATTTAATCCTCTTATTGTTCACGTCTTACAATTTTTCTATGTACCATCTAGATCTACAAATTTTTTTCTGATTAACTTTCCGCTTACGGTTAATCCGGCGAAGGACACTTGAACGTATGGGTCGACAAGATCCTTGACCTCGCCGGTAAACGCCTTCTTTACGTTCGCCATAATGCTGCTGTTCATCTTCGGTAGCCCATCGGCTCTGTACACCTTCACGATGAACTTGGCCCGTTGCCTTTCGATAGGCACGCCATCCGGAAGCAAAAGATTACCCTCGATGTCGTCCTCATCCTTCTCACTTTTGGGAGGGATTTTCACTGTGTCGCCTTTGCCGATCACGCTTATGTCGCACTTCAGATAACCCTTTGGACCTCCAGCCACATCGTCCGGGTCCGTCAACAAAGCCCATTTATGGTAAAATTGATGATCTACAGAGTAAACGTGCGTTACGCTCGTCAGAATGCGGAAGCGATCCGTTTTTTTACAACGTGTAGACATCGTAACACAAAAGGACAGAAAAAGGAGACACCATTCAAATACATAATACGTGAGCATTAAGTATGTAAGTGATTTATGAGTAAATGATAGAAGATGCAACTTTTAGCAGTCATTCGCTTCCGATGCATCTTTGGAGGTTTTTCAGTATCTTGGCTCATCGAATGGTTGAAGCATGGTATTGTCGATATTCACACATGTATCGACAATACTATGATTGATTAAAAAAATGTAGAAATATTGCTTGAAGATGTCACAGTCAGTCACGAAAGTCTACGTACATCCGCAAATTTCAAATATTTAAAGAAATACAGGCATTTTAAATATCTCATGGACACTAACTTTATTTGTTAGTTGAAGTTGCACAGATTCTTAAAAAAATTTGACTATGTTTCTGAAATTTGTACAGTGAGAAACGTAATCTTCTATTCTTTAATATTACGTGCTACAACTCGAATTTTGTTCAAACTAATACTATCATTTTTTTCAGAAAAATGATGCATTTTCATATATTTTGTAAGTATGACAGAACGAGACATATGTTATTAGATTACTATATCACAGTTTACATATTTTATAGAAAACTGAAAAATACTAAAATACACAGAATGCAGATAATATACAAAAATATATATATAATGTAGTATTCATTGTAACACTTATCACGCGAAACAAATTTTTGCTCAAGTTATTTAATTTCATCCACAAGAATATAAATTTACATAAATATTCACGTAATTTATCACCTGGCTTTACACTGCACTTTCAATTGAAATATTACAAATGCTTTGCTGCAAAATTAACTATTCTCACTTATCCTCCTTCCAATAATTTAATTACAAACGTACTAATGTATAGAAAATATTCTTATTGTTGTTACAATTATTTCAATTTAATTTTATTTGATTGAAATAACTGAGTGAAGATTGCAGAAAATACAACCAAGAGTGAATAAAGTAAGAAATAAAAGACCAGCAAATGCAATCAGTAAATTGAGTTAAACATGAGAGATGGAGAGTAAGAAAATGAAATTGATCTCGAAATTAGCCACACTAGTCTGGTTTAGCAAGTAAGATGTAAGAGTAGATCGGTTAAGTAAATTTGCTGATGCTTAAATCGGAAAAATTTAAATTAAAATTAAAATAAATAAATTTTATTTATACACATACAATACAGTGATTATACACTCAAACCAAAAAAAAATCTTCGTGCATATTAAAAATTTGTTACATATTCTTTTAAACAAATGTAAAGAACGTCGTCGACGTTTTAAAAACGATCTAATTTTAACTAACAAATGAATTAAGATCCACGAAATGTCCAAAATCTCTCTTTTCTTTTTTTTTTTTTTGTTTTAAATATTTGAAATTCGATATAATTGAACCAGTGACGATGAGAAATTCCCGATCATTTAAAATGTTGTAACTTTCTAAAAGGAAAATCGTAGAATCGTCATTTATGGTAAACGAGTAACTATGTTTCGTCAATGAATGTCGCACGTGGATACTTACGTAACGACTTCCAACGTATTTACTTACTTTCTGTTTATTACGGTTTCAATCTGCTCTAATGCATTCATTTTCACGTGGTAAAATAAGGAACTTGCATATATGCAAAGTTGTACTCGATGAATAATTGTCGAAATTTTAAACTGTTATTCGTGAAACAAAATCATACAACAGTTGGTCATTTTAAAGACACAAAACCTCTATTTTATCAATTTTGAGTCCATTGTTTCCAAAGATCGAAAATCGTAAAAATTTAAAAAAACGTCTCCAAAGTAAGAAATTTTTTTCATAACTAAACCTATCATGGTCTCAAAGATTAAAGTTTTCTTTATAACGACTTCTTGCCTGTACGATCTTTTTATTGAACCCTAAACATTAGGATCATATTGATAGAAATTCAAGAAATTCCAACGTTATGTCACTTAACATTAATGCTCAAAATTTCAATAAACTGGCGAAAAGAAATCGGCAAGTTTTAACAGATCGTTGTAAAAGCGAAACTTCAAACTTCAAGACCATGGTAGAGTTAGTTATAAAAAAAAAGTTCTTTTAACGTTTCCAGAGACAATTTGAATTTTTTACAATTTTCAAAAGTCCTTGCTCTTCTACCGTATGTAAAATCCGATTTACATAATGTCGAAACTGCTTTGGAAAAAAACCGGACTCGAAGTTGGTAAGGTAAAAGTTCCGCTTCAAAATGAGGCCAGCTGGATTGTTGCAAGATTTTTTTTTCATGACTTTATGGCAATTTAAAAATGCAGAGAATTTTTCATCGAGTGTGCGAATACTTTCGTTCAACTTTCTATATATGTTTTTTTTTTTCTTTCTTCTCGTACGCATAATAGTTATAAATATTCTACGCTACAGAAGCGGCATGACTTGCTGTCAGAAACTACGATACATAAGCGATTTATACAAGCTGTGAATTAAAATGAATACTGATGCATGATAAAAATGACATGATACGTAGAAGAATGGTTGTTTCGCTTCTTTTTTTTTTTTTTTTTTGCATTTTGTCGATATTATTTCGATTCTTTTCCATTCAAATGTTTCATTCGTACCACCCTGCTTTATCTTTTTTTATTTTTTATTTTTTTTATTTTTTGCTACGTGTTCGATATATATGGATTTGTGTAATACATTGTTGCCAATTTAATTCTTCTTTAACGATGAAATTTAGTCACGATCAACCTTTTTATCGTTACGTTACGCGTAAACGAAAATTGACGACCGTACACAGAGAGCATGTTGCATGATGATACAATGTGTAATTAATTTCGCTGCGATTTCAATGCAAAAGAACTGAATTCATTGCTTTCCAATGAGAATGCAGAATAAAACGATAAACATGTAATTTAATTGAATGTGTTCCGGGCTGAAGTATAATATTCAGACTGCAAAATATTTGGTTAGAACGATTTTAGAAGTTCTTTAGCCCTCGTCCAGTTTCTCGTGCCAGCTTAACACATTCCTCTTTATAAAATGTTTACGCTCACGATATACAAAATTGAATATTTGAGATTGCAATTTGACACGCAATTGAATAGAAACTCGGTCCATTTACTGTTAATAAAAGAATTTGCAGCTTCATTTATCTTTTCATTGTATTCATGCCAAAGGTTGAGGTTGAAAATAAGGATCATTTTTCACAGAAATAACGTGTCCGAAAGATGCAGGCTACCTTTCGCAACTGGGTCAAAATATAACGTTAAAACGGAGGGAGATAGACAAAATTTTACTAGAAAAAAATTATATATCTTGAAATGCTGTACTCTCCGAAACTAATTCAATGGAACTATAATATATAATTTCTTTATATGGATTTTTTCATTCCCTATAAGAAAGCATTGGAGTACTTGGATCGAAAAAAATAACAATTGAATGACTGAAGACTTTACAGAACAACTTTGTATATTTGTTCGATGTTGAAATTTTAGAACGATTAAAAAGCTTTTATAACTTTTAAGCTAACTACTCATACGTCATAAAGAGCGGAAAAATTTGACTTTGATTGACACTAGTTCGTGAGATCGACACACGCACAAAAGAAGAAAATAAACACGAGTATATTTACTATAAAAATTGCGTAAATAATGTATTACATCACGTTACTCTTCAAAATTATGTGAATTATCATTATCAGAAAAATTAAAAAATCTGCAGACAATAAAGATATAATATATATATATATATATATATATATATATATATATATATATATATATATATATATTATGTATATATATATATATATATGTACATACAAAAATAGAATTTTTATTNAAAAAAAAATATATACATAAAAAAAATATAAAATATATATATATATATATATATATATATATATATATATATATATATATATTACGTATGTATGTATATATATATATACATACATACGTAATGTAGGATTGCAAATAAAGCTCATTTGAATTAACCAGAATGAGTGTATGAGTTTCTGTCTGACGTCGAGATCGAATAATATTTGCTGATTGAAGATTGTTAAGAAGAGAAAAAAAAAAACCAACTATGTTTGCGAGAAAAGAGAAGCCCATGAGGATAGTAGAGCGGTATTAGCGTAAATTGGCAACGCCCGAAAGTTGCCATCTGCAACAAGCTACCCGTGTCACTTCCTTACACGGTTTAGCTAATATCGACGGTAACGGTGCTTGCCGCTCGTAACCTCCTACGGGATTACGATGCATTTACTGCTATTAAGAGGCAGAGGCAACTGGAAACTCTCCGATAATCCCAGAAAATTAGAAGTAAACGATTAGAACGAAATACATGGCACGCGGATGCAAAAAATCTCGAACAGAAAACTAGCGAGAAGTCACGTCCGCGTTGTAAACCCGGTATAAGCTGTAAATATTTTAGTTACCTCGACAAGGGAGATCCTGCGATACAGTTTCGTTCGTATGATGACCACCATCGGGCGAGATATCTCACGTACATAATTTTTTCATTGGGACGAGAGTTTTAATTTGAAAAAATCAATTTGTAGAAGGGATGCCAAACGAAACACACGTGCGTATGTATTTTCTCTTACATATGCTACAATTCAATTACGCGAATTAATGTATAGCGATACAATATAATATTCACAAGAAATGACTGGTTTTTACATTTTTTTTTTTTTTTTTTTACAAGTCAGACCAAGTTTCAACAGGGAGATTTCGTGCTTTGATTTTTGTTCAAAGCATAACCTCTCATCCTAAAACTCGCATGAAATATCTCGTTTGTGGCGTGGTATTGTGTCACGAAGTATCATCGTTTGTGGTTGCAAAGTGATTAAACTTAATGACCTTTAAAAAGGAGTATCAGTGGGTTGGATAAAGCCTCGCCGGGTGGCAATTAACCTCGGGTGAAATTAAAGCCAACAAGAGGATTATAAACCGAAGCGGAAAAGAAAATGGCAGAGAGAATTTTTTGTACTAATTTCTGTATTCTTCATTCTGGTCTGGCATTATCCCACCAAGTGGAATAGCGGGATTTTGGTGCTGGATTTTCGTCGAAGTAAATCTCTGGCAACAAGAGTATAGTATGTTTGAAATATAAAATGGTAATTGTTCGATGGGTAAATAAAAATTGACGATTTCAAATACAATGGATTTCAACGTCTTTGGATATTTTTGAGCATCTTGAAAACTCTTTTCAAGGAAACAATAACAGTGGCCAAATGTCTGAATTTTTTAAATCGTTTACCACATTTTCATTTCACAGCAGCCTGAAAGCAGATATTCTGGTTTAAAATTTCGGGAAAAACTCGATCTCTCTCTTTTTCTGTTATATTTGCGTGCACGTGTTTGAAAGGATTCGTTTGATTTCGCAAAATTTAATCTAATTTGAAGAACACAACTCATTGTCCGTTGATATTCATTGTTTCAAGTGTCCTAGTTTAGAGGAAGGATACTTTTAGAGCTCATTTCACCACGTCAAATACATATTTGATCCCCACTAAGAAGAAACACCGATGCAAACCAGCACTCTGTGTGAAAATAGAATTCTCCTTTGAACAAGTTTTCCTCGAAACCACATTTCTTGAAATGACCCCGGCGATATTTCAAGTTCTAGTTTTATTTTGGTGGGCTGATGTAAAATTTTGAAAGGATTTCTAGTGCGTGTGCTGTTATCGCAATTAAAATTTTTGAAATCCATGTTTCCAACGCGACAGAGACAAAATAACGTTTCGAATAAAACAATATTTCCGATTAAAGGTGCTTTAACAATCAAGATTTTTATTTTTTTTTTTTTTTTTTGATTCACAGCCACAGCCATACCGATCGATATTCCTTTCATTTTCTCGTTTATTTTCTAACTTATAAATATCCATAAATTTACGTAAAAAAGAATCAACAAAAAGTTTCGTGGTCTCTTCGGGAAATTTATTTACTTAAAATACATTTAAACTAGAATACCTCCTAAAAATATTTTCGAGGGGACACATTTTCACGCCAAAAATTTCGCAGTCCGGATACTATACAATGTCCCTGTCTCGGTTTCATCGAAATTATTATAAATCGATTTGAAATTTATATTTCCATCCACAGAAGTGTCGTTTCACTTTTCAATGAAACGACGAGCGGAGAAATTGTTTTGCTTGGATACACTCGTCGAGGCTCGATAAAAGATGAAAGACAGTCAGTAATGATTAACAGTAAACCTTTAGAATCCTTCTCGAAGGACTGGAAAAATATACCTGGTTGTGCCCATACGGTCGCGATGTCTAATTTAAAGCTGCCCAGCGTTAGATTAGCGCGTAAGAGATTCCGCGATTGCTGCACCTGCGTATCAATAGAGGGTAATCTCATTTCAAATAATCTTGATCCACTTTCTCTTCGATTATTATTCATCGCGTGAAATGGCCCTTCGCGTACATACTCCCATGAATATTCAGACACTAAATGCCCGATTTTTCAGGAATTATTGATGCACGAACTGCTGTAACAGCTACTAAAAAATAATCGCACGACAATCCACCTGAGCTCGTTTCAAAGCGTGACAGTCTCTATTTTCACAATCCTGGAAAATCATTTTTCTTCTTCCAAAGTTGTTTTCTCATCAAGTGGAAAACTGAAGATACACTTGAAGATGCTACAAATTCAAATATTTCTAAGTGAGAACTTTTGCACGATTCTTTGCTGCTGTTTTGTTGAATTTTGCATTTTCTCTCCAAAAATTTAATAAGATTGTTACAAAGAGAAAGCTTCGATCTTCAATCGGTAGCAATGGAAAGTATCGCTTAAAATTTGAGTTTATAGTATTTTCAAGAAAGAAGTATCTTCGCTTTACTACATAAATAAATGTCTTTCAGAAAAATAAAGAATAATAAAGGCTTTAAAACGTTTTGAAACAAATTCTTGTGCCATCTTTTTTCACGTTTGCAGCAGTTTAAATATTCACAATTTCCGACAAAAAATCAAGACTTTGGTGTCCGAATGGAATTTATGGAGATAACTGTACGTGCACGAGCTAGCCCGTTCAAGGGAACAAATGAACGACCCAAAATCCAGTTCACGGGTCGCGAGTAAACACTCGTCGATTCTTTTTCTTTTTTTTTCCCCTTCTTCTCTCCAATTTCCTTCCCCTTTTTATCGTTTGCGTTTCTACATGTCAAATCAATAAATCTAACCCGTGTGCTGCTTCAACGCTCTGCAGGGAATTGAACACCATTGTGCAAAAAAAAAAAAACACTCGCGCTGCTATCAGGAATGCGCTGAAACACGTGTAATTAAGAGCAAACGATATTCTATTTGTACCATGCATCGTAAACCATTAGTTCTTCAGCTTCTCGTTCAGATGAGACACATGAAAATAACTGATTATTCAAATACAACGTTGTCGGCAGGCACAATTATAATTATAGAGTTAAGCTGAACGAAATTAATCAAATTAGGTGAAATTAAATTCAATGAAGGAATGCGCGATTGTAAGTGACCGATGAACTTATAAACGTAAATCAACTAATTAATTACGAAAAGTTAATTTGCCAAAATTGTGAATTAACGTAATGAAATTGCACGTTTGCGTAAATGATTTTTAAACGATTGTTAATGAAATAGTTCATCCGGGTATTCGTTGCCCTACTTCGAAACGTATGCACGCATCATATTGGCTTCGTATTATACATACGACATGTATACGTGTATATCATATCGTTATATTCATTTACGTATTGCCGAAAACGTTTTATTTAAAGAGCAAGCGCGATTATAGCGACTCATTGCTTGCACGTTGCTCGTGTTCATCGTAAGTACTGAAGGCCGAATTAGTAATTCTAGTTATCTAACGAAGCAGATAGCTTCCTAACGTCTATGAGCACTCTCGCCGATTGCGTGAGATAAAGGGAAAATTTAACAAGCGACTTACCGACAGCGTGATAATTTTATCGAACAGCATGACCGGCGGCATGTGAAAATCGAAGACGAAATACTGCAAAAGAAAAAAGCAGAACAAGATTATTTCATCGAAAAAGAACTTCCATGTCCTTTGAAATACCTACGTAGGAGGAACGCACAATCGATGTCGCAATGAAAAAGACAAAATGCGAGACCGGAAGATTGGATATTTTTATGAAATGAGAAAAACAAAAGTACAAATGACCAGTTGCCGTTTATTAAATGCTGATATATCAAATCACCGTCATATCGACATAGAAAAAAACTGCATAGTTTTTTATGAACTGTACACTTCCGCTCAAAAGTCTTGGAACCGATGCTATGTCTGTTTCAAAATTGGAAAAATGGAATATGCATGCAACCAGTGTTTTCTTTTTTTTTTTTTTTTAAATAAAAATCACGTTGTTTCACCACAAGTTTAATTCTACCACAACTGGAAAAATATCATCGAGTACTGAAACTCGACTTGCCTTGAAACATACTATTCGGTTCGGTGTTTTCTGTTTCGAAATAAAAAAAAAAATACCTATTTTTCGCTTCAAATAAAATTCACCAAGAGGAACACGTACCTCGTTGTAATACGGGCAATTCGTAGACTCCTTGACGCTGGTGTACTTTCGTTGATCTCCAATTTGCACGCAAACGACTGGATCCATGTTCAGACCGGCCAACTGTCTCGCCTCGATGATAGTGATGCAAACCTGATAATCTTGCGCCTTTAACGCGCTTTGTCCAGTGTCGATGGTCTGTAACAATGACGGTTATATATCCTTTAGTATAGTATAGAAATAGGGATTTTGTGATATTTCCTCGAGGGGTCGCATCGTCTCCAACTCTGAAGAAACCAGGACGGAGACGGTGGGCGAAACTTCTTATGCTAAAGCTGTTACGCAATTTGTCGCGCCATTTACTTATTTCCATCCCCATCGTGCCACGCTCGAGAATGCCAATCTCTTAATGATCTCCGTTTTATTTGCAATTTTGCTGCTTAAGCTACACGCCGATGCGGAATAAATTAACAAGCTTCCTACGCGTTTCCACGTAATTCGCATCGACACTCGTTGCTAACTAATTATTGCGAGGTATGCACGTAGAGGGTGATCAAACATTATACGCTCGTGTCTCTGATTTTGTGCCTATCGCGTTGAAATTGAAGAGAAAGTATCTCCCAAATCAATACTTTTCCGACATAAATACTTCTGTTTTTATAGGAATAAATCGATAATCGATAATCGATCTGTATTCCAACAACCGATTCAAACGACCAAGCTCTTAATATAAAATCACACGTATGAAATAACGTTTGGATTTATATTCCGATGTTCCGTAATTTTATCTAAAACGTACAATTTGTCTCTGAACTTTGCGGTTTTGTCTTCAAACGTCCGTAGCTGATCCGCGATCGAATTGACTTTGACATTTGGTATTTTGAAGTTTTGAAGGGTCGTCACTTAATTAACGGAGGGGGGGAAGTTTTTGTCGCATTAAACTTTCAAAATTGACTCCTGGTCACACAAAAAATAGGTTTCCAGGCCACTGAGGATCGATGAAAAAAAAGTTGCTGCAAAATTCGAGACCAAAATTCTTTTTTTTTTTTTGCACTCGATTGTGGCTCGATCGATGGTTCTCTTGAAAAATGAATCAAGTTTCAGAAGTGACATGAATTCCCATCTAGCTCTATGATGCATTTCGCAATTAAATCGAAAGTGGATAGTGTTTTAATTAGTAGTGTCTAGAGGGAACAAGAAATTGCTCTTTAGCACGAGAGATGCTCCATTCTAAATAGAATGCCAGAAATATCGGATGCTAACTTTACGATCTCGAGCTATTTTTAAAAACTCGAATCAAAGACGACACGGTTTTAATGTTGCCAATTTTCCTGCAAGTGAGAGATACATAGAGTTCAATTAAATGAAATCATACTACGGTACCTGTGACGTATAATTTTTGACCACTCTGTATATATAATAATGAGAAAAAGCAAAGTCAAATATTACAGAAAACTCGAATTTTGATTTTTCCACCATGCTGAAATGTTATTCAAAAAAATAATGACGAAAAGGACAGTCTTTTCTGGCTCTAACCCTTTCGAGACCGATCTTTTTCGACAATTAGCATACAATAATTCTCATAATATATTAAAAATGAATTAGGTTTAAGAAATTACTGAAAGTGAGATCTTTCATACCTTTTACATTAGGATCACGCGTTTCAACAAGTTGTTCAGCGATGACGGGAAAGTTATATACTTGTACGTATAAGAAAAAAATTTATTTGTTACATTTATTGCTGATAGCTTATATCTCAGCAGACACGTACACGTTCCGAAAGGGTTAATCGAATTCGAAGGGTTGATCTGACCTTTGGCTTGGATTTCTTCGTTGGCTTCATGATCGCTTCCTCGTGGCCGTCCGTCGTATTTACTCCGCCTTGGCTATCATAATCAGAAACGTTCGTTTCCAAAGAAGTCATCGAGTTCGTTCTCGAGGGTTCGTTCGACGTTGCGCAACTCGAGTCCCTTCGATCGAGCAATTCGCTGGTATCCGAGCCTGAGTCGCATGATCGAGCTCTGGGTGGCCTTTGCTTCCCCAATCTTATAAGGGATCTCATGCTCTTCAACGTTGAACTTCTGCTACAAAGAATGCAATTTTTTTTTTTTTTTTCATTTTGCATTTGTCATCAGTCAGAGTTCCTCGACAATTTTTCCAAATTTTCAAGATGTCAGACGTAAAACTTTTATGTGAAACTAATTTGTGAAAGTTCGTAAGGAAACGTTATTAAGTTTTATTTATTATTATGTCCGTTTTCGAGAAGTGCGTTTTTAACGAATTCGAATAACTCTTTTCAATTTTAATATTTCCAGGAATTTTTCTTCCATTTCTCCAACGTACATCTGTGACATTTAATTTTGAATAACAAGGGTCTCTGAGCACGGTATTGCACGGGCAATTTGCTCTGATTTTAATAGAAGAATTCTTGCGATGTTCAACTACCGATTCTTAACAATTATACGCGACTTTCAGTCGAAGCTTTTGCGTGGGAACTGCGAATAAGCAAAATTACATTCAATATACTTGTACGACTCGAAAATATAATAATTTTTAAACATTTTTGTCCTTTACCGTATATAATGTAATGAATCATTAAATTATATGTAATATAATTATACATTAAATTACAGACATAATTATACAAAATAAAATTTCTAAATGTAGACCTGTAGCTTTCAAGTTACATGATGTTATACAAAATTAACTGTAACGCAAAATTTGTTTAACCAATAGTTTCCCAAGCTTTAGAAAAATATTATGTCACGATAACGCATTTGTTATTCTTCAAAATTGAAAAATGTTGTCGATTCGAATTATTCTAAAATATTTATAGGAACAGAAACGCCACGGTGGCCATTGTGTCACGTGTTACAGTAAATTTCTCACGTTCTTACGTTCAATTTATTCTCCGTGCTATATTCCTATATTCTAGAAATTGAAAGTCCTCGCTAATTTACTTCCAACAACAACCGAAACGTTCCATTGTAACACGAGTGCTTTGAAATTCTTGTAAATTGTCGCTGAAGCATGAAACACTTGTACCGCATCGTTTCTGAAGACGATAAGATCAATGTAAAGTGTGTCTCACTGTGCATCACGTATTCTGTCACACAATGTCTAAGAAAGGCGGCAGTATTTCCACTTTAAAATTGAGACAGCGAAGGAATATTAAATAAAGGAAGCACGTTTTTCTGTATTGATCGCGTGCTTCCTTTGTGCGCTATATCAAGATTTGTAGAAATACGTGTACACATTTGACTTGTTCATACATTTTTTGATACAACGAACAATTCTTTATGTACGGTGTATAACAACAGACAAGAGAAAATTTACAACAGAGATGCTACGTTAATAATCTACTAAATATTATATTCCTTATTATATTAGAAATTATTTAATTTATAATATAATTTATTTTGAAGAATACTTTACATTTATTTATTTATTTATTACTCTTGTCAAGTGTAATTTCATTTTCTAAAAGTATCTTACTTTTCTTCCATCACTGTATATACATTCGCCGTTTACAAAATAAGGTTTCGGCCAACATTGATTCAAGAGAAAAATGAGTGACTGTACATAGAATACCATTTGAATAAAGTGGAACATTGCGATGGTTTATGCTGAAAGGCATCTATAATTAGATTGCGGATTTTTATAAAAATTCGTACTTATGAGAATGAAATTAAAAAAGTGAAATTTCAATAAATTGTTTCCAAAAAAAAGTATCAAATATTATGGAAAGCATTATACTTTGGATATTTTAAGCAGGATGCTTCAATTATTTCTTCCCCAAGAAAGACGTCATACGTATAAAGGTGGGAAATATATTTTATTAGAAAATTTCGAAATTATAAATATCGTTTCAATTTCAATCCTGCGCGAAAATATATCCTACATTTTCCATCAGGAATTTTGTATTTTTGCGACAGCTTTGTAACAAAACATTTACAAATTTATATTTATATTTTCCTCGCTTTCAGTCGCAAAATATCCTGACGTTGTTTTTTTTTTTTTGACGTTAAAATTGTAACGCAAGTACGTACTATCTATTAAACTAGGAAAAATTAAACTTGCACTTTATGCAACAAAGACTCTGTAAAATGTTGATATATTAATAATTATAATAATATATTATATGAATATAAATATAAACTTATTAATATAAAATATTAGAACTATTATACACATTATACCAATATAATTACAAAATACAAATTCAACTTAAAAAGTTTCGTCGTCTACGGCGAACGCCGAGTATTAAAAATAGAGAGCTCCGTGCCACAGAGGGAGTATAATCTGTGCAATTTCGCGTAAATCCATGGAAATCCGCAGTCTATTGAAAATTGATCCGTGTTATTAATGAAAAACATTCCGTTGCTGTTGGAGAACATTGAAGAAGAGAAACAATAAATACCTTCGCCTCGGGAAGTCTAGATGGCTGATTTCTTGCGAGGAAACAAAGAGAACACAGAGGGAGAACGAAACGGAGCAGAAAATCGGATAGATATTACGAAAGAGAATGAAAGACGCGCCGGGTCAAAGCAATATCGTGCTACTGGGAATTTCTCACCTCTTACGATCGGGCGATTTCTCTGCCGTTAGCAACGAGCTACCCCTTTGTAGGAGGCCCCGTTTCGTACTTTTCTGAGGGCTGTGCCACGAACCTTTCCTCTTGCCGGCGTCGGCGCCCGTATTAGCTTGCTCGAGGCTTCTTTCGAGGTTCGCGATGTTTTGTTCGATGTCGATCAGCATCTGTTGCTCGTCCTCCATTATTTCCGACGGCGCGTACGAGCTGCAACTTCCGTCAGGCGGGTTGTATCGAATTTCAAAGCAGACAACAGCCTACGCACATCAAACGTGCACTTGTGTGTAAATCTGTACAAATTGTCTTGTATAATGATGGGTTTTAACAAGACAAGCGAGTAGAAGACAATGCGAAGACGTGTAAAAATAGTGACAGAGAGGAGAAAAAAATGTGAGAACTTTTCGTACGAAATGAAATCGAAAACGAATAATAACTTATATACGCGACACTAATGATAATGAATATAAAATACACAACACTGATACAAATTGTATAGAATTTGACAGCGGATGAAATTTTATTATCTTTATATATTGTGTATTATCTATATAATTTAATATAATCTATATAATTATATAGAAAATTATATTTACATAATCATCGTATTCTTTTCGATGAATATCAAATAATAAACATTTTTATTTAATTGTGATGTGAAATAGCCGACAACCTATGCATTGTGACATTTTTTTTTATTAAAAATCAACTTTTTTTTACCAGAAACATACTATTACTGTCGAAATAAAATATACTACTACTATAATATTGCTTTTACCGCAGGTGGAAAAATGTTTTCTTCAAAATTCGTCACATTCGTTAAAAATATCTCATCTTTGCTCTGATGTATAACATTCGTCGAATGGTGAAAGATATCGTCAACCATATCGCTTATAATATGTGTTTCAACCTACCGGAAGTGGTTTATTATTGAGGTCTACCAAAGAATCCGTGACAACGATTCGACCTTCTCGTACCACCGTTTGTAAAACCAGGCCATATTTCGCCAGCACCTTCTCGCTTTTCAAAACACCCCGCGATATTACTGCCAATTGTAAGATTTCTACTTCGTCCACTGGTCTCCCCAAGTTCCAAGTGAAACTCTGAAAGACATTAAGTTAAGGTCAATTAAGAAGTTAATTAAAAACATTGATTAAGAGAATATTAAGTTCCGTCAGATTGCGGATGTTTGTGTAAATTTATATCTACAGTGAGTGTAGAAAGTATTCGTACTCTGACTGATGAAAAATTGCTGGTATTTTAAAGACGTTTGAAAAGAACGAACCTTGAATAGGAATTAAGTAGAAGTTTTATGTTTCAAAATGAGCCCAATTGTTTCTTTCAGATGTCACGGCAGTTCAAAATGTCGACAATGTTTCATCGAGCGTAGAGAATATTACGCCGAATGGAAAAATTGCCGATGTAAATTATTAAATTTATTAAAATATTCATAAATTATTATTAAATTATTGTAACTTCTTAAACAAAAATATTAATATAAATTATTGTAACTTCTTGAAAAAAGAAATCGTAGAACAACTTATCTAACAATAAGTTTATTTTATAACTTGAAGTCTCTATTTTCATTATGTCCCTTCTTCCATCGATATTTTGCACATTATTTTGAAAAAAAAGAGCTAAGAATATTTCTTCTCTTAGAGATTTTCCAATTTCAAACATATTTTTATAGACGCTGAAAGAATTGTTTTCACAACTAAATCCACCGTGAAACTGAAGTCTCTCATAAAAATTCGTTATATAATTTTTCATCTAGTGTACGAATACGTACGAATGTGTATTATTTGAAATGTGAGATTTAATAAGAGATTCATTCCATCCATTAAATATTAAAAGGGATACCGCAATTATCGGAACATCCATTATCTGAACTCTCTATTATTCGAACGTTCCATCACCGAAATGTTCTATTATCCGAATTATTCTGCGTATGTAGCCATACAGTATTTTCCTTTATCAAAATTATTGAAGGTAACAAAATCACGCTGCAATATTTTAATTTAGTACAATAGGGCCTCCCATATCCGAACCGATAGGAAAACAAAAGTGTTCGGTTAATAGAACAACCACTTTTCAATATTAAATTGCGTATATTTAAAAAATTATCAATCTATTTCAATATTTAAAAATATTTCTTGAATTATCTAATTTTCTTAGAATAAATAATTTTCTTACATAAATTTTATAGAGTTAAGTACACTCTCTTTATACTTTGAATCATCGAAATTCATTGTTGAAAGCACTGTTTCAGTGTGTGAAGAAATTATATCTTGAAATTTTGACTTTACCTTCAAAACGAGATTTATTGATTTATAGGAAAAGTGACAATTATACACATTTTCAACATTTTTCGTACTCTTAAATTTCTCGCCTGCAATTTAATTATTACCTTCACCTCATGGTTTCGATCGAATTGTCAATCTGTATGATAAGTAAATCAATCTGTAAGGCACGAGTCAAAGCCGCAAATGTACGGTCGATCACTTACACGTACATTATAGAATAAGTAATCAGAAAATTGGATGCGTTATCGAGGCGTATTTGGAACAGTTAAATCGACGCAGGAGCAGTATCCAGAATGGATTATCGCTTTTACGTCATCCTGCTTAATTGTGTGAAATACCTTGCAAACTTAATTATCAGGATCACCGGCGATGATCCTGTATAAAGGATTAACTTTGACCACGTGCCAACGTTTCAAATCGAGTTTCAATTTGATCATTTTAACGTTGACGTTATCGATAATATGCCAATTAATTTTTAAACCAATCGACGCAGGGGGAGAGTGTCTGTCAAGAAGAAAATTAACACGTCTCGGCGAGAAACGATATTTCACAATTTTACAATTTATTACTCTGCAATTTTCGAAAACATTCACCCGAGTGTAGTATAACCAAGTGCTTGTACAATCCTGAAATTTGGTTGGTATATATATATGGCTCGTAGTGACCCGTTTATGGATCGATCTCACGAGTACGCTGTTCTCCTCCTTTGACCATTCCAATCCGACTAATAATTTAATTGCGAGTAGTTGCTAATTAAAAACAGCCACTACCTCCACTAACTATTTCCATGCTCTTTTGATATTTAAATGTCAACATTATTTATACTTTTCACGAAAGAAAAATCACATTCTTTTTGTCATAAGAGTAAAAATAATTAAAAACAAAGCAACGAGCAATTGCGCGACGCTGACTAATCGATATATGAACTGCGTAACATGTGAAATACTACACGGTGTTGTTTAATAAAGACGACAAGAAAAGAAAAATATGTTTCGGAAAATTATATCCTTCACTGAACATTTAACATCGTTCGATAAGGTGCGATTTTCTTTTCATGCAATTCCTTTCAGGCTTTGGCATTATTCAAACAATACGTTTCAAAAATGATGAACTGAACAATATATTATGAATTTAGCTAGATACTATTCGAAATAAATATGTGATTAGGATAGTTTGTTTGAGCATGAAAATAGTTTTCCTTTTAGATTGTTTCATTAAATTGGTTTCCTTTAGACAGTATTTGGTTATCAAACGAAATAACGTTTTGTTTTATGTTTTATTTTACAATAAAGGTCTAATCTCGTCATAAACTTTTATTCCAAATTGCTATTTTATTTTCTTTCCTTTTAGATATTTGTTATTTTATTTGAACGATCGAGTTGAAGAAGCTATTCGAAAATGATTTTATTTATTACAAAATGAAACTATCTCTTCTGTATTATATTTAAAATGACAATAGTAAATTAATTTAAATAACTCGTTATTCTAAATTATTTTCTTATTTTATTCCAAATAAAAGTCTGATTCTTTTTATCACATCACTAATTAAGAAAAACAATATTCACAAATATTAATATAACAAACTACAATAATGAAAATATTTCTATTATGAATTAAATCCACTGAATTGCAAAATCATTTTCGTAAACTTCGCTTTAATCGAGCAAAAAACTAGGTCATGATAAGTATACTTGATATACGAGACGTACCGACTGTACATATAGTCCGACACGCTCGTTTGCCACGCACAAACCTAACTTCCTCTTGCTTAGTTACAAACTGCACGTACGAAAATTTATCTATTTACGTGTGTGCAGTCGCAATTCTTTTAACATTATGTAAATTTCTTTCGACGAAGGAGTAACGCTTTCATTGAAACGGAATTATTTTACAAGCTGCACGAAACGATGAACTGCGATGAACTGCATCCATTCAAATTTCCTTTCTCGCGTATTAAATCAAAAATTTACCACAATTCATATCTCGTAAAAGTTAAAATGAAAATTTTACTTTACTTATTAATTTTAACTGTATAGAACTGTATTTGATATACAATTAATTTGCTATGTAATTATACAAATTGCTGAAAGAAAACCTGTTCACTGCAGATGGTAACGAAGTGCATGTTAATATCACGCGGTGACATAAAAGGGTCAAGAGTTAATCGTTCTAATTGAAAAGTAAAATTGCGCTGAAAATTGAATGATCACCGCCAATTTCTCCTTCCATTATAATAATGTGAATTTATTATTACTATATTATTATATTCAGATTTTTAAATATTATATTATTATCGATTTGTTATAGTAATTTTATTATTATTATACTGTGTATATCATGCTAATATTAATAATAACAATTTTCTATATATCCAATGTATATAGAATAATTTTCTACTCTATATCAATGTATTTACAGTGTATTATCATAAATTATAAATATTTTATACATAAATTTTGTCGGTTTGATTTATCAACAAAAATTCGCTGACTTAATAAATATTTATAAATTTAAAAATTAGCTAAATCATAAGACACTTGCTTACCTCATCAACCGTAATGTGATCTCCACTGTCTTCGAGGCATTTCGAGTAATGAGGGGCACCTGAAACAAATTTTTCAGGTGAAAGAATGTTAATATCAACGAAATATAAAAAAAAAAACCATCACTTCCATATCCACAATAAATTTTATAAACGAATGAAACAATTTAATGATTTTTTTTAAGCACAAGGCTAGGTTAGTGGAGTTTTATGGGAAAGCTTTCATCCGTTATTAAAATTTATTACTCTTATATTGCTCTTATATTGGTAAGAAAAAAAATACCATAATTAGATTTTCATTTATGGTTTAGGTTACATGCACAAGCGCAATTTAAGTTATAAGGGCAATAAGTTTCTAAGATGTCAAAATATGGAGTATATTTTGTAATTATCGAGATAAATTTCCAACCTCGAACAAAAGCTTTTAATTTGGAAAATTACTATCACTCGTAGTATCGCTTGTTACGTTGAATCGTGCAGCAGTTGAATATTTCCGGCCATCGCTTTTCTCGTTATTCCATTTAAACGTTTTATTTAAAGCAGCGAGATAGCTGCTTACGCATAGTAGCCTTTTATGGATAACAACGTTGTTTAAGGTGTGCACGGAAAGTCAGTAATTTACGTATGCTGAAGTTGAGAATCGTGTTAAGTCTCAAAGTCTCATACATTGAAATTTTACACCTTATACTCCTCACTCTGACAGAATACCTGAATGGAATACGTTGAAAAAGTAAATTACATATTTTGCTTTACACAAAAAGAAAAGAGAACAAAATAGTCGTCGATCAAATTATACTCAAGTCAGTAAGTCATAACAATGAAAACGAGAAAAGGATGTGATAACGTTCGAATAAAGAACAGACGTCATCTGAGAATTATTAGACTGTTGAGTTTTACTCATTTACAGGAAATTAAAAATTTTGAAGACACGATAAAGCGAGCGAAATAAATCTCTACTTTGGCTCTCTTTCTTTAACCATGTTCATAAAGATTGAAATTATGTCAATGAACATATATATATATATATATATCATTGGTGTTAAATTTCGCAAATTTCGTACAGGTTTCGAATTGTGTGCCATTTGAGGCTTATTTTTATATCGTGTTTTATATCGTTCGAGGCACATTGGAAAACAGATGAAAGACCATTTAAATCGGGAAGAGATTCAAGATAAAGAATCTCTTCAGCACTTTGTTGTAATTGTTACTTTGCGTAATCGTTACGTGCGGAGCGTTGAATATCCAATTTAGAAAGCTCCGTTTAAAAATATAACGCGTTGAACAAGTGGGTCAAGCAGAGAAATTAAGACGATAACAGGTTACAGGGAAGAGAGGAAAGTAGAGAAAACACTGTTCTCGTAATACACGTAAGAATTCTATATGCGAACACGTGTTATATTAATTAATATCTCGAATAACATTAGGACATTTAAAGAGGGGTCGAGTGCAAAATCTTTACGCGGAATCTTCGCCCGTGAACTGGGGCAAGCATGATTAAATGAAAGTTTAATTTCCACAAGCTAGGTTAACCTCCGTTTAACAATTCGTCGTCGTTATTCTGTCTTGCTTTTGAATTTTCCTTTATATTTGTCCACGATCCCATGAGATGACCGAGTGAAACGACCACCACCGCTGGCTTCGCTCGTTTAACCTACCACTAACCTTTGCAATTGTACCCTCCAAAATCCTCACGCTTCGATAAATATCAGCGGCTGAACTCGCTCACTCCTAACAGTTTATTAACATTTTGCTATACTAAATTCAGCGAGCGACATGTTACATTTTTTAGATACTGATTCTTTTTCAAATGTTACAAGCAAACTGTTGCATCTAATTCGGTACGTACGTACAGTCAGAAATCTTACAAGTACTGTATCTGTATGATAAAAATAGTACAATAAATATAAATTTAATATTATAAATACATTATACGCAGTAAATAAAGTATTACAAATGTAAATTGCACAACATAAAAGTATAAATTATACGACACAATATACAATATAATTAAGCACAAATGTAACAAACATAAAACATAAAAATGTAAATACAACAAATATAACATTTTCGATATGTAGAAACAGTATAGAATTCCGTAGAAATTTGACCCCATTTTAATTTGTCGTTGAAAACGTGTTTCATAGTGAAACGAGTTTTCCATCACTCTGTGTTCGCGTCGATTTGTATATCCGTCATTCTCATTGTAAATTAACCGTGACATAACTTTCGTACAAAATTGTCTGAAGAATCAAAAATGTTTCAATTTCTCATGCGCATTTTAAGTTGAATTTTTAATGCATTCTCAATTTGTCATATGCTTCTCGTTCAGCATTAAACTTTTATACTTTTGACAATTTAGCGGTCATTCAATAAGTTATCATTTTTAAACAACAGCGTATAGATACTCCAATCTCTACCAGTTTAACTCACTGTTAAAATTCAATTTATACACTAAATAAATAGCAGACGAAAAGCAGGTTAAATTCTTTTTTTTTTTTTTATTTTTTGAAAGTTATTTATATCATTCTATCTTTTAAAATGCAAATTATAAAAAAATAAAATGTAAAATATATCGCTTGAAATAACTGTTCGTACAAACAGAACAGAGCCATTTAACAACTTGCGGTTAGATGAACGATATACTCTGTGGTATCAATGATTCACTCATTCACGATGTACATACGTACAACGGAGGAGAAATTGATTATTTATTACAAAGCACATAAGATCCTTGTCAGAGTTGTTTACATGAAACGAGAAGCCAATCGATGGATAAACGATAGAAAGATAATACGTTTGTTTTAAATAACTCCGAAAGAAAAGTTACACGCAAACAGTAACCTGGTATCGTGCATTACGGTGCTTACGACAAACTTTTCAATCGAAATTTCATGAAAAATTAAGGTGTCGTGAAAAGCACGTGTCGATTAAGCGCGATAAATCTGCGTGTGATCGCCGTTCCAGATAGAAACGTTTATTTATAGAAGAACTAATTTTAATCAATATCGCCGATTAACCTTATGGTAACGCTATGAAAACATGGGGTTAGTTACGTTTAAACATCGAAGGGCGAAAAACCGTTTTCCTTTTTTAATGAACTGGAAAGATCAAGATCTTCGTTAAACGAATGGCAGTGCAAAAAGCACTCTTTATCCCACATGCGATCACTTTACGCTTGTTTTGCTTGGATCAATCGATCCTGCAACTGATTCGACTGTTCAACACCGCGCGACACAACGTTATTTTGAAAAGTACGTATTTGTTATGCTTTCCGTTTGCTATAGTTACTATAGAGTTATTTTCATCTTTTTATTTATTCCTACATAGCAAACAAGTACATATCGAATTTTATTAAAATATAGGTTTCAATTTGCTAAAATAAAATTTCATAATTCTTTCGAATTGTGTGCCGATATATTTGTTAAAATTTCTTCATTTCACTTGTCCAATAAATGAAAAATTTAAAAGCAACTGTATTATATATATAAATTATTACTAACGTTATAATATTACAAATGTTTATAACGTTTAGTAATATTATAATCGAATTACAAACTACATAAATTATAATATGTAGATAACATAATTTATAACACATAATAGATAATGGATAAATTATGATATACAGATAGATAGATAATGGATAAATTATGACATATATGAGCGAAATTGTAACAAACATTCGGTAATACTACGATTAATCCCGCTGTACCTTACGTAAATATAATTTTATTTTATTTTATATAAAATTTACGATCATACGAAATTATTTAATATTCAGCACTGAATTACAAAGCTGAATATTACCGAGATAAGTTAACATGTATAAAAGATATTAAATATCCGACCGTTGATAAAAATTTCTTACGAACAGGGACTTACATTCTTCTGTACATGTGCGGACATGAAAACGCTCTACTTCGTACACATTACGCGAAATTATAAATTAAATCGAACGTTAGCTGTCCTCCGGTGTGTTACAAGAAAACCCGAAGAGAGAATAACCGATACTTGCTTTAATGAAATTCGAATCGATTATCAATTACGTTTACTCAACGTCGATCACCGAGCCTCCTCGTCCTGCGTACGCTTTCGAAGTTCAATTAACTTTGCAAATGTTCGGAACTTAGTGACAGTTTTCGATCGGCAGCAAAGAGAACGCGAGTCCCTGATCGTCGTGCGCCACGACGTTTATCAATGTCTACACATTTTCAGTGATGATTAGCCACGGTTAGATAGCCACTGTGCGCTGAGACTTACCCCGGAAGTCAACCTTCACAACCTTGTCCCCTTTAAATTTCAATCCTTGAAAGTTCTTGACGATAACGACGAGCGCCATCCTGCGTTTCGATTGTCTCTTAAATTCGCGACCCGCGGCTGTGGATTTACCGTTCGTTAAGCTCGTGTGCTGCGCTACGCCGCATGTTCCGTCCCTCCGTTACCTTCTTCGATCATGCTCCGGTGTACGCACGACGGGCAAAGCGACGAGGGCTCGAGAGAAAACGGACTAATCGAAACTGTTCCGTGTTCCGCGTGAATTCGATTCGCACAAACCTCGACCGCAAAAGCTCGCGTTCAGTCAGCTGCAAACGGCATTGCAAAACGCGCCAAAGGCCGACGCATATATCACGGTGACCGGTGCGATGTCGCGATTAACGAGCCTAACGAGCGAGGCACGTACCCGGATCGAGCGGCTGGCGAATTCGGACTAGCTGCGGTGTTCGCGCCCCCGAGTCCTGTACGTCCTACAGTCCTACCGGACCTACCCGTTCTGCCATCCTGGAGAACCAGCGCACGCGCCGTTTCTTCTACTACTATACTTGCCCTAGTACACACAAACACACACACAACACACACACACACACACGTGCATAGTACGTCACGCGTCATCAGCGCAGTTATTCGCCGCGACGCAACGCGACGCTTCTCCCCCTGCGCTATACCATCCCGATTCCTCGGCATTCGGTTGCCGCGTACTCAGCGACGCATACCGGCGTGTCCTCCTGTTTGCTGTTCATTCTTACCGGCATGTCCTCGCGAATTGCCGGGATACTCGGCATACGTGTTGTATCAACAGAAGCCGACCAGTCTATCCATTTACAGGCATTTGTCAGCCTGTTTCACGTTTCTCCTTCGCGCGCAGGTAACAGTCGTCTCAACGATCGCACGCGTGCGTTTTACTTTCACTCGGGGGCTGAAAAATTCTACTACGAAAATCATCAAACGGATGATACAAACGTCTTTCGTACATGCATGTCTTTCGTAGCGATTCTGTCGATATGTACGAGTAACATAAATTAAACTTTTTCCCGTACGTTTTGTGTTATTAAAGACAAGACAGAAATATAGGATATTTAACAGATTCAAATAGTGAGGGAATTTTGTGACAAACGATGGACAGAAACAAAAGAAACGAGTTTAATAATTGTTTGATATTAATATTAAGATAGCCATTCTTTGAAGTAAAGATTTATATAGGTTTTTAATCTTTTGGCTTGGTTCTTCCGCAATACATACTAAATTTCCTCAACAATTTTCTATAAATTGGGGACGTGACTAATTTTTCTAAAACACGAATTTTTTTTTGCAATTATTATTGTATTATTGTTTTACTGCTTTCGCGTTATCACGTCGCATACGTGTTAAATTTGTTCGTCAATCGTTTCAATATACTTTTCACTATTTCATTTTCCAATATAATAAATTTTATTTCCACCTTACCGTAGTAACCAACGCCTTCCCATGGGTCGACGACTCGCAAGTTGTTGCTCCTTTCATGAATCATGATGCTAGTAGTAAAGGCCATCAGGTCTGTTCGCCATTTCTTATTCGTATAAAATATGTTTCTCTGCAAATTGCAAGCTTATGCTCTTGCTTTAACCAAGATTTCTGTCGCAATTTTCGTCGTTTCAGATGTTCACAATTCTTTAAAAAACGTCGAACACTCCCAACATTTGTGCACAACGCTGTTTCTGCAATTTTTCTCACAATCAAGCTTGAATTTAACGCTGGCACGTTTATCCCGAGTTGTTAAACACTGCGATCGTCCACAACTTTTCCTTTTTCCATAATTATCGAGATCTTTTAATAAATTCATTATTACTTTACTACTTCTATGAACTAATGCGTATTTAATTGACTGTACTTCGTTACATTTTCGACGGCTTCTGTACGACTGAGGACGAAAATATTCTAGACTCGTGCGAACTTGTTCGCCCCGCGGCTGCGGACAATATTTACATTTTCGTCTCTATAATTCTGAGAAATTGCCTGTCCCGGTAATAATATTTGTACGACGCTACACGTATGTACATCGACGTATGCCAAATATCCCAAATATTTCAAATATTTAAAATTGCCAGATATTTCAAAACTGATGTAACAATCTGCGCATTCTCTCTAATTTACAACACATAATACAAGAAAATAATATAGAAAATAATGTATTATCTTTTTCTATATACAATATAGAATATACAGAATATTATTCTATTCTAAATAGTATAAAATTCGAAAAAAAAAAAAAAATAGCACCATGTTGTAATTAAAGGACAAATTTTATGATCACTTTCATAACGTGAAAAAATAAGATTTTTATTGAAAACATTTTACCTGTCACAAACAAAATATTGCGTTATTACCATAACTTGAATGTTGAATTCTATATTTTTATAATATCTTATAATATTCCGCCCCAGGTTAAGTTTCTAATGATATAAAAACATTTAATTCGCGTAAATAATAATTGGTGTTATTAAATCGTGTGTAATACATGAAAATTCTCAACTTACTTGTTAGTAATTAACACGATATGGTTTTATAATTTTTATAGTTTTATAAATTGTGTGCATGTTGTACCATTATATAACTCCGCCCAAAATTGATAATGATTTCATGTGCTCCGTAACAGAATCCAGACCAGTTCTTGCTACATCGAAGTTCTTGTAAATAAGATATAGTATTCCGAAGTAAAACAGATAGACAGCAATTATGTGAATGACGTATAATCTGTGAACACAATGCGCGAATCGCGGTAAAGCGAAATGTTCATTTCGTGAAACATTTTTAATGAAAGATCGATAACTCTTCAAAAAATATTTACATACGAATCATTATTCACGTAAAAATATTTATATATAAATATATTATATGTATTATATATATAATTATATATAAATATATTATATTTATATTATATTTATATTTACATATAAATATATGTTATATTTATATTATATTTATATTTATAAATATATATTATATTTATATATCCCAAAAGTTTGGAAGTAATAGCACTTCAAACTAGCAATGTGAATACGTTAAAAATACGCAAAATATCGGACACAAGTCGCGAACAAGTCTTGAAAATATATTCGAGACTAGGAATTCCTGAAATCTCAGAACTTTGAGAATCCGAAGAACGTAGCTTTATTGAACACGCCCATGGTTTCCACATGTTTTACTTCTGTGGCATTTTGCTATTCCACGATATAGAGTAATAAATTTGTTATATAAAAGATACGATATTCAATTTAAAGCTGGTGTCTCGGAGTCTCGAAATTCTCGGGAATCCTGATATTTTCGCGAGTCTCGAAATATCTTTCCGGATACCTTCTCAATCCCGGCCCGATATTTTCAAATTTCTCGCATATTTCTGAAATACGTACACTGCTTGGTGTCTCCTGGCTTTCGGCAAGGTGGATAAATTCTCTTTCATGCAATACTGACGTGCACCGAGAATGCAAGTTTTTATGTACGTAGCGTCGTCGATTGACAAGAAATCAATCGGAAAAATCTTTTTGTCCTCGGCGCTCATTTCGCCCCACATTATTAACAAGTTCGTGTTATGGAAAACCCATTCCCTTGTAGTGAAATACTGTAAAACCTCGAGTCCAACGGAAATACGGTTTTGAAGGCGAACCATACTGGAAAAAAGAAAAAAAAAAGAATACCGCGACATGAAAAATTGAAATCGGCAAGATTGGATGGAATTGGAAAGGAATTGGCTTACAATCTTTTTTGCCGAAATATCAACATAAGGAAATCGATGAAATAAGCCGGTACAATGTGGAAGAAGAAAACGATCAGGTTGTGCACGAGTTTGCTGTCGTGTATGTCACCGGATGGATACCAAATTTGTCCTTCGAAAGGATACTGATACGCGATCTTTTTCCCTTTTCCCAATACTTCTCCCCAAGTGATAGGTAACACGCCACTTTGCGTAATATTGAACACTGGCATACTTGCATGTCTAACAATGAACAAATAATAGTTGTATAAACCAAAGTGCACAGACTCGATTATTCGAATTATAGAAATAATCAGAAGTACACCACCTGGTCATTAAATTGGGATCGCTCACAAATTTTTTTCAACATCTTGCAAAATTTTAGTAAATTTTGAATGTTCGGAATGCAGTTCAATAATAAAGTTTATTAACTATTAAACCATATGCATATGCACTGTACAAGTATATGCAGTACTGCACTGGATACACTCATAGTTCGCGTTTCTGCTCTTCGACATTAACTGTTCTTTATGAGTAATAATTCTGTTGCAATAAATACACTCACAACACTCGTAATAAATTGTCAATTGATACGTAGTGATTAACAAAATTTTCGATTACACTTTGAAAATTGTAACTGATCCTGATTTAATGATCAAAGACTGTAGACCACTTTCTACGATACGCAGACCTCTATTTAAATTCCACTTAATAACGTTTATAGAGATATAAAAATGCATAAACATATAAAAATGTAAAATGAACATCAACCCCATGATCAATTGCTCCTTATTAGGAGCAATTGATCATGAGAGAATAGCTTACTTCACCGTAGCTGTCCTATGACCAATTGCAATTAAAGCATTAATAGCAAGATCGACGGGTATTACTTCGGCATGATAGCGTCCATTACAGAGCATAGATCTTATCACGCCTTTGCCTGCACCCACCATAAGGCCCACAGGTCCATTTAGATTATCCACCCAACCGGGTAATGGTTCTGCCAAAGCTGGAGTTACTGTACATAGGACAATGCAATTTCATACGAAATCCGTATTTTAGCTTAAGCCTATAAATATGTACAACATATGTAGATTAACAACATACGTATATAACTAGACAACGCTATGAAATGAAAGATGAAGAAAGATATAGAATGAAACCTTTCGTTACAGTTTCGTAATTGCTTAACGTAACGTGATACTTTATGAAAATGTTGTATCGCAATGTAATACTTATTGGAAAAACGTATAAATTTCGAGCGGCAGTCAACGTGTTAAATAAGCGATCAGCTGAAAATAAAAATATATATCACAATCGTATCGATTACTTTCGTTTCTTTCGTTTCTTTTTATAAAAATAGGGGAGGGAGTAGATATCCTTTACTGCAGTATGCATTTGTACAACACCTCACATTTTTCTGGAAATGCTTGCTTTCGAAAAATAATTATTTGCCGATGAAATTGTTATGTTTTTACCTATCGATGGTCTGGCAATGCTGCACGGTAAATTCGGATATTCATCTGCTATCAGCTTTTCGGACAATCTCTTTGAAAACGTGTAAGTATTCGGATGAAGATCCAAGATCCTGTATTCGATAAAATCGGATTAGTATTGGATTAGTATTGGATAACCAAATAAAGTAGCTTGAGAATATAGGAATTCAAAGTATAGCAATAATAATAATAATAAATTAGAATTTTCATAGACAGGTAACAGTGTAAGATCGCGAGAAAATTATCTACAATATGAACATGAATTACTTAGGTGTGATAAGATCGATGGTACTTTCATCCAGCCATTGAACCAGTCTCATAACATCGTGAGGATCAGCTGATGGTTTGTAGACATTCTCGTCGAGTTCTTCTTTATCAGCGTAACAGAAGGCTGTGCTCAGGTGCACAAATGCCTTCAGCTTTTTCATCTTTTTGCTTAATTCTATAACTCTTTTCGTTCCAATCTTAAATGGGCATTATTCATAAAATAATAGGGAAATAAGTTAGAAAGAAATGTGTAAGATAGCACGAAATCTTTTAACTAATAGTCCCAATCGTAGACGACAGTGTTAATAAAATAAGGGAAAAAAAAGGCAAGAAATCTTTTAATTAATTAATAAATTCGAGAAATTTACCGTATTCATGTCAATAGCGTCTTTTAACTTAGATTCTAATCTTAGGGTTGCAGCACAATGGAATATTATGTCAGTTTCATTGATCAATATATCGAGTTGCTCGTCAGTCAGTCCTAAATTCTTCATACCAACATCCCCGCTCAAGGCTTTAACTTTCTTCAGCATTTCAGGCTTTTGTTTTCGTATTCTTTGGAACATCTGTTCAACATTATTTCAAGTTTCATTAAATCAGTAATCGCAAAGGTTGTTATTAATAGTTTTCGATATTTAATTTCAGTGCTCTCCATTTAGTTGCTTCGTAATCAATGTGAAAGTGACAAATAAAAAATTCGACACGTAACTCAATAATTGGACTGGGGATTTTTATATACTCGTGGAAAATTTAAGAGATGCAAAATTGTATGGGATACGTATGATACGAAAAATATACAAAATATTCAAATATTATAATATTTTGTAAAACCTAAAATAATTTTCTACTTTTTTTTTAATCACGTTCTCAAAAATCTTTTATAATTTATAAAAATCCGCATAAAAATCCAATTAGCTTTGATCAATTGCAAACAGTCAGGGAAAGAGAGGGAGTGGAAAAGTTTTAAAATACACAAAAGAGTTCATACTTACAGGCAATTTAAACATTTCGTCGACCCGTATTTCAGGAGTACGACCTCTTTTCGGCCGTATCAAAATAAAAATCTTATTTAAATCGCTGCAGCTATAAAGTAATTTCTCAATGAGAACTTTTCCCATAAAACCGGTTCCTCCAGTTACAAAAATGATTTTCCCCTTATAAAAAGATTGTATCTCGGTTAATTCGCTCATTTTTTTTAAATCTGAAACAAACAATTACGAAAGACTGTACATAACCATATTTTCTTTCAGCTTGCGCAAAATCTGCAATACCGAAAATTTATTAGCAATTATTAACAATTATTATTCTATGCGCAACATCGATATTATTTCTTTTGTTTTTAATGAATTAATCAATTTTAATTAAGAGAGAAAATAAGATGAGATCAAAATATGTATACTTGTATGGATATAAATTTTGTTTTCTATAATTGAAAATTTCTTTTTGGTTATCGTCATAAGTACAGATTATAATAATCTATCCGCTGCAAACATTATTGTTTGTTTTTAAATGTCGAAATCGAATTGGAGTCACAAACTGTGGTCTTCGTAATGTTCCTTATTTCACACATTTCTTTCCTTTCACTTACATGTATGTATTACGTTTGAACATCATCACTTTAACTAAAGTTTTGATCTACAAAAAGTATGAGGACGAAAATCAATAAAAAAGCATGGTTGAAAGACACTAAAATCGATTCAAAAAAGAAGTTCTAACGTGTATTAGCAATCAGTTGAGTACAAACACGTCTCAATTCAAATATAGATTTTATAAAATTAAAGGTAATATAATTTTTCGCAATACATGGTACTTTTTTATATCGAGCTATGTTAATGAATCGAAAAATATATCATTTCACTTTAAAAAGTGGAAATGACCCTAGCTCTACGCGTTCATCTACAAAAAAAAAAAAACTACTTAAACCAAATTGTAATCCTTTTTACTTTTTATTTAAGTTATTTATTTGTGTAACAGATAGTTTAAGAATTTGCATTCATAAATTGAAGCCGGTTGTTCTGTATATACTTCAGTGAATGACATACTTTTTCTTACGCAGGCAACTTATTCGTTAAGAATCATTTACTTTTACAAATTATTTGCAAATAACGGCTGTGATTTTCGCCAGTATTGCATTTATTTAACCCATACATTCTAAAATAGAAGAAATATGTTTAACAGATTTGCGACTGCATCCTTTCCTTTTTCACTGTTTACTATTTCTCCATTTTTCATTCAGTCAATTTCTTCATCGAACTTTCTGAATTCTGTTTTTGCCGTAAATGTTTCATAACTGCGCATTCATTTATCTGTGAATCTCGGCAAAATCAGTCACTGTCTGATATTTCAACGAAGTCCAAAGAGAAAACAAAACTGAACTAGTCTTTCTAATGAATTGGCACTTTCGACGTATCGGTACACAATTCATTTTTGCCAGATCATGACAATTACTGACTTTAGTTCATAATTACATAACATTTTAAAAACACTTTAAAAGCTCACTGGATTTTAGAAAAGCTCTGACAAAAACACTATATTTCACTATATAAGATGCTATTTCTTGGGAAAGACATAATGAAATACATAATAAAATAAAAAAATCCAGCTATGCTTAGACGATGCCACAAATATACCTAACATTGCCCTAACGTTAAATCTTTAAGCATTAACTGGTTAACTGTATACTAAAAGTAAACGTCAATTATGCTAACAACTCGTCATGTACTTGACAGTGAAAGTATTTTTCGAGACGTGGTAAAATTTCTTTCTCTAACTGAATATTTAACTGTTTCTACAAACGTATAGTCTCCCGTATTATGGTACTGTGGTACGATGACATAATAATATTATGACATGCTAATATTACAATCTCTTGTATTATGCGAGAATTCTTTTCTCTAGAAAGTAACGACGTTAATCAGACCATAAATCATTCTTTATTTCATACATATGCATATTGTTTCTTGCATTCAAACTACATTCCGTGTATAAATAGCGATATATTTAATCTAATGTGGTTTAATCCATCGATCTTAAACGAAAACACAACAAATATTTCGATAACACGATGATAAGTTTTATAACAATGTTTTCTCGATTAAGAAGATTGTTATTTTAATGATAGACGTCCATAAGAATGAGGTGAAATTACGCAGTTTCATCAGGAAGTGAATGGTCCGGTGATTCGGTAGCATTAAATGTGGCAACACTGAACAAGTTTCACTTTCTTAGGACCTTTCGACAGCATTCAATATAAAATTTGAAATTACAAACTGTGTTCGAACGTGTATAAAACATTTTCTAACACATTTCACTTTTATGTAATACAAGTCGATTTAATCGAGATAAATTTGCCATTGCAACCGTGACAAAAGAACAAATTGCTTACATGTCTACTTTTTCACACTTCCTATAAAATAGCATGTTCAAAAAAGTGTGTTCATAATTCAGTCAACAATTTATTTAAATATTCTGACAAACAAAAAAAACGAACGTAATAAGTACTTAGATGTAATCAAGTTGACTTTTTACAAGAGGGAAGGGAAGTGTATCAAGCACAGCGTGTAATTTTCATTTTTTGCAGACTTTACATCTAGTAAATGCTTGTTTTTATGTATACTTATATAAATCATATAAATTATGTAAAATTATAGTAAAACCTATACGTACATCCTTATTATTGCGTATCATTGTTGATTTCAAAGATAAACTTGTGAAAAACTTGAATTATATAAAGCGGATTCGTTTATTCTTCGAAAGGTCAAAGTTGATCGAAGATCGTTTTAACTTTTAAAAAGGAATTGTAAAGAATTTCGTTCATTGTAATTAATTATAAAAACATAACGATAATTCGTATGAGTGAAATGATATAATTAAACTGCGGATTTTTATGCAAATTCATATTTTTGAAATATTAATTTAGAAAACAGAATTCTGACAAAAAATTACGTTATGTCAAGAAAACTCTATTAAACAATATTATTTTATATTAATATAATTTTGAATATTTTATGTTTCTTTCATATTATGTGCAATTCCACACTGTTTATGTAGATACTATGAAATTCGTTTCTAGATAACATCACAAGCACAATATATGAGCAAACATAATTTATTAGCATACAGAAATAATGATCTTAAATAAACGTTTCCACTTATGTAAAAAGTATGCATCAAATTTTGTAAAATATTATCATTGCATGTTAAATTGAAAAAAAAAATTATTTACGAATTCTTCAAAGATACATAATTATAGATAATGTAATACATTTACTTAAATTAACAATTATATCGACGAAAAATCAGTATAATTAACCAAATTGAAAAAATAATATTTTGTTTTTCTATCTAATCTTTGTCAACATTCTCGAATAAATTTTTCCTCTATTTTCTTCTCTCTGTTGCTTTAATTTTTAATTTTTTTTTCTTTATAAACTAATGCTGTTATTAGTAAAACTAATGCTGTACTCTCTAATTGTAAGAATTTGGAATACAAATATACAAAACATCAAAAATAATAACTAAAATATATAATCTTTTTAATATCAAAATATTAATAGCTATTTTAAATAACATTAATATCATATTAATATGCTATAATAATGATTTTTAACATTTATTTATAATTTATTATTCACTCATCCCTAAATTTAATTGTACTATTACCAAGAAGTATTACATTTGATTCATTATAATAGTTCATTGTAACAACAACGGAAAAAGTTCTTAGACTGGCAACAATAAAATAATGACATGAAAATAAAATAAAACAAAAATACTTACTTAGCAAGATTAATCCGATAAAAGCAAATCAAGTTCCTTTAAAGATATTTGAATATACTAAATAGGAAGGAGAATCGAAAATGCAACACGAGTTCGAACTAAATGAAAACAGAAGGAACAGTCGTGAACCACTGTGTTGGAACACACTGAGTTTCATCGTAAATGGAGTTGATAGTCATGGCAGAAGTAACATCTCCCCACCTATCTGCAGCTACCTTAAGTTATACTTTTTCTTTACATTCTTCTTACAGTATCTGTATCACACCAAGCATCCAATTATAAAGAAACGTGTATCTCCTTCTCCTTTTTTTCATTGTAAAGTCCCTGCAATAGTTTTTACGATATTTGATTTTAAAAAATTATACTTCAGTATCATTGTACATGGAAGGAGGAATTTGAGATCAACATAATTTAACATCGATCGAATTTGAGATTAATTAAACTTGAGACTGATGTAAAATTATTAATATATTTTTTAAATCAATTTTAGTAACTTCAAATACGTGCAATTTTATGTAATCCTCTATAAATATTCTCCTAATATCCTAATATCTACATACATATGATAATAATTTGGATAATAATAAAAAGTACCTTTTAAAAGGAAAGTAAAAAATTGAGAACATATTCGAACATATTATTATATTTCCAAGAAAGATGTTAAACATTTTGTTATATAATAAAATTTTATGGAAAAATTATAAAAGTATGGTTATTTATTATTAATTAATTAAATTAACAATAAATGTAATTCCAAGTGTAATTATTTGTGTAAAAATAATGATATGATCGATATAGTTTCAGTACAAAAAAATTTGAATACAATTTAAAATACATTAAATTGTATCTGTCCCTTTCACCTTAAAGGTATTTCCTTGGTTGTTTTTGCAACAAGTATGTTAAAAATTTGCATTACGCAAGATATTACGTAAAGTCAATGCACATTATAGTTCATCGACATTGCTCTTTCAGAAAATTTTACTCTTCCTTTCCCCTTTCTCAATAAATATTCGGTAAACACTTTATCTTTATCCGAGATAAATAAACAAATTATTCTATTGAGCAGTTTTAATAAATCAAAATCATTTTTAAAAGTTAAATTTTCGAAATATGATAAATGTTTCAAAACATTTTAATGTATATAAATGAAAATTATTGTTAAGTTTATTTGGTTAATTTTATATCGGTTAGAAAATATAAACATTATTGTTTAAGATAAAAGTAAAAATAAAAAACTACGAGATATCTCGTATAATATATATTTCTTTGCAACTTTAATACATTTTGCAGAATAGGAAACTAGCTCTTTTAAATGCAGTACGTTTATCATAGACGAGGTACTTAATGTGACGTTTCAGTAGCAAACAATGTGAACAATTCAACAGCGTTTCAATAAATTGTTATAAAAAAGAAAAATGTCTTCGCATACTGAACCGATTGTCGAAGAATTAGCTAAGGACTATACAAATTATTTAAAAGTAGATTTATCTACTCACGTATGTACTGTTCATAACCTCAATGTATAAACCTCAAATATTATCAAGAAATATTTTCTTATATCTTGTAAAGTAAGACATGCGATAAAAATGTAATGTTACATTTCAGATGAAGATTTTCTATGATACGATCGAAGATGTAATGATGCGTTTAGAAGAATTTCAATCAATTATTGAAATGGTTAGAGACCAAAAACACAACTAATGATAAATTTTCAACAAAAATAATATATACTTTGTGTTATATATATACGTATTTTGTGTTAAAAGGTTCAAGCTGAAAATAGCCAATGTATTGATCAACATATTCCAAAATTACAAGATATGCAACAAGAAATCACAAATCTTAACAAACGAGTAGATGCTTTAGAACATGTTATAGCAATGATTAATGTAAATCTAACAACATTAGAAGCTGCTGTTGATAATGCAGAAGCTGAACTAGGAATATCTGATAGACTATTTGGGATGTTAAATCGTTTATCTTTTTTTGTAAGTCATTCTTATTTTTATAATGTTGATAACATATTTGAACTATGATATATACGTACATATTTCAGAAGAAAACTCAAGAACCTGTGGTATCAAATAAATCGTCAGTGTATGAACCTCCAACGATTTACAGAACTAATGACTACTTTAAGAGTGAATAATAAATAATTTCCATGAGAAATAATAGATTTGTCAATTATTTTCGTACATTAATATATGGTACACATTGAAGAAATATTTAAGAGGTGTGTAATATGAATTTCATATATTTCTACTGTAGATATAAAATAAATATATTTTAGTACATGTTTATCAACAATTCTTTTCAGAGCTGACATAAAATGTTATAAACTGAATAAATAAATGAATCGAATAAAACAATAGGTTCAATTTATATTGACTGAATAATATTAAAAAACTTATGATCCTAAAATAGTTACCATTGTTTGAATTTAATATATTTTACTAATTTTGTAATACTGAAAAATTACATGATTCATTGTCCGATCATCAACATGCTGCAAGGGTACAAGTCCTTAATTGTGCTTTCTTTTCACCTAATAAACAACTTCCACCTATACAATGTCTCCATCTTGTTAATTTTCCTATACCACAAGTAACACTACAGCTTGACCAGTTTCCCCATTGATCCCATATTTTTGGCCCTTGGCGATTCAGTCTACCTATCATTAAAATATTTCATTTTCAAATAAAAATATTCATATAAAATTACTGTTAAAATTACTATAAATATAACATTTATATTTTTGACATATTTTGCATTACCTTTCATAAAAAGTTTCAAAAATAATATTTTATAAAAACAAACATTATATATCCAAAAAGTTACATTTATCGAATAACAATAAAAATAGTAAATTTTTTATTGGCTATACCTCTTTGTTCACTTTTTCCCTCTTCATCGTTATCGTTATTTGTAATAGCGGATCTTTGCGCTGTACGATGCAAATTTTCCTTTTGTGCGGGAAGTGATTGTTTATCAGGTATTAATACAGTATTACTTAAATTACTTTCAAACTGAAAAATTGGTAAACATTCCACAAAAATAAATATAATTATAAATGATTTAACAAACGATTTTATCAAATTATATAACATAATTTACATTGCTGCTTTATGAATTTCACGCAATACTTTTTACTGACTGAAATTATCTATCAATGAACGAAATACTTTGATAATCTTGTTTAAACTATTCCAATAATTAAAAAACATATGAGAAAATGAAGTAATATTAGAGAATAAAATTCAATATGAAATTTTCGGAAAAAAAGTTTCATTTCAATTCAATCTAAAGTTGAAGTCCAAATTTTATGTTCGTCCTTTCCTATAAATCTAAAATATGACAATAGATGTTCTCTTTTTAATTTTATTATTTCGTTTTAATACCAAGCCAGTGAAGAACATTTCTAGTATCACATTTTTTTAATTGACATGGTTTTATTTGTGCTCTCTTCAACCCTTTTAAGCAATGTTCTGCTGAACAATGACGCCAACGAACTCGACGACCACTTCCGCATGTTACACTGCATGTACTCCAACTGCTCCAATCATCCCACAATTCATTATCTATAATATTTAAAAAATGATTTATCTTACTACCAACACTGACTTATTTTACTAACAAAAAAATAATAAATATGTTCTTTTAATTAAATATGTTTAAATATGTATTTTAGGTAAATGATTATTAACAAGAAAGTGTTGTTCACTTACTATTGTCAGTAAGATTTCCCATTTCCTTTAAGTTATTTTGTTCTTCTTCATGTGATTGTATACTTTTTATAGAATTTTCATAAAGTGGTTTATTTAAATAACTAAGTAATTTGCGCCGATGATTTGATGAAGTTTTACAGTAAAATCGAGTATGCCATTTTGATATTAATTGATCCAACTTGATCTAATGTAATATGTAAGTGAATATTTATTTCAAATCATATTAAAATGAATGGCAATATTTAAATAACTAACTTTGATACATTTATATTTTTCATTATTAAATCCGCAAAACCGTGGAATAATTTTCTTTTTAATGTTTATCCGAATTTTTGGTAAGGAATTTAATTCAGCAAAAAAAGGATTAACTTCTTGATTGTCTATACTAGTTTCATAAACTTAGTATTAATCCTCATAACCAGTATAATAATAAATGATTATAAAATATGCTTAAATATGAAACATGATATAATTTTAATATAAAATATTATATAAGAAGTGTTTCAATGTACCATTCATCAATTACATTAGCACTCAAAGGTTTTAAATTAAACAGTGGAGTATTTTTTTTCGATTTAGAGGCGTACAGTTTTCCAAATTTAACTCCAGTATCAGATGTTTCTGAAATAATACATGCTAATAATAACATAAGTAATAAACGCATATCATATTGATCTTTCTCCAAGTTTTATCAATGAAATCAGATTTACATATTAATAGGTTAAATTGGTTAGAAGTAATCTGTATAAATAATGAAATAAAGCACATTTTATTTGACAACTTCGCATCTGCAGCATATATGATATTTCTACTTACACACACATATATATATATATATATATATATATATATTTACAATAAAATAATTTATCAAGTATTTCTTATAACTTCATAAATATACAAATAGAAATCTGAAATAAAAGAATAAAAATCTAAATAAAAGTTTGGAAATAGCAATATATGCTATTATTACATGTTTAATATTATAAATATTAATTAATATTCAAAAGCTAAATGATGTAATGCGAATATATTCAAAGAAGTAAGTTTGCATAATAAAAATTTTATAATATATTAATTGATTTCACATTGTATCTGAATAATTTTTTTGTAATTACTTATCCATTTTGTAACTAGAAAATAGAGATAGAATTAAAAACTGTTCAAAAAAATAATACTTGTAAGAAAAATTAATTAATTAAATTTGTTTTATTCCTTTAATTATATATCTATATATGTGCAAGATATAGATATCTGGATTTGTTTCTGTTCTTATGATTTCTTTCAAGATATTTTATACATTACTGCAATTTAATAATAACTTTTTATATGAATATTTAATGAATATGAATACATATTTTTATATCAAACATTATATAATTATATAAAAATATTTACTTAACTTTTTAAATCTATTGGAAATATTTGTTTTAAATCACAGTTTCAAATAATTATGCTAAAGAATATTTATAGCCGGAAAAATGCTTTATGTGCACGACCATTTGGAATCTGCCCTTGAAGTCTTAATCTTCTAACTGCTTCTCTTAAATGTTTTGGTTGTAGTGGACCTGATTCTTGATGCTCTTCCATAACATCAAGGGCTAATTTAAGAATCATATTTGAATTAAAAGAAACACCATTAATTGATTAAAGATTTTAATAGAAGCTTTAAGCATCATCTCACCTCCTTCTACTATTTCTCCAACAAATACTTTTGCAATACCAGACATAGCAATGACCACATTCTGTGACACTGAACAACCTGTTATAGTTTGCATGATCTGTAATATAGAACGCAATTCATAAAATATGTTTAAAAAAAACATAGTGTTATAAGAAATGTACGATAAAGATAATTACTCTTTTTATTGCTGCTTTTGGAAAAGCAGCTCTTCTATACATTTCATATCTATCCAATTGATCTTCTGTAAAATTTGACACTAGTACTCTGTTAAGAAACAAATTATGAAGTAATATATCAAATTACATATAACAAAATATAAATGTTATAAAATAATATATAATCAAAATATTTAAATACATACTGCATTTTCTCTCTTTCTTCCTCTTCCAATTCTTTTTTACTTTTCTCTTTACTTTCTCTTCTTTCTTTAACATTTGTCGGATTTGCATGAGGTAATACTATGTCATTTTCAAATATATCTTCTGTTGTTTGTTCTTCCTCTCTACTCTCAATTTCATGTTTAACAATTTCTAACTGATCTTCTACTACGGAACATGATAAGTTTGATCCTACTTCTTCTCCATCTGATTGAGACTGTGAACTCATTGCATCAAATTCTTCCTAATATCATAAACAAATAAAAAAATAAATGGCAATCACTTTGAATTATACGTAAGTTCAAAATATATTATCTTTGAAATATAGTATTGTATTAATATACCTTAACATGTATATTATCAACGTCCATTGATTCTACATCTTTGGTTACAGAATTTTGCGAAGGACTACTTTTTTCTTCCTTCTCCTCAATATCTGCATGTTCGCTTTCATTTCCAGAGTCTTCCTTTCCAAATATATTATCCATAATGCAATCCTAAATTACAAATATTATAAGTAAAGTATTTACTATTTTTATATTCTGATATTTGTAACTAGTGAATCCTATAAAAATGTTATTTTAGGTTAGAGTAAGTATTACAGTGAACATCTCAAGAAAAGTTCAATTTAAATACCTAGTTGAAAGATATGATTTAATAAATAAAAAATAAAAGACTTTGTGAATTTACATATATTTTATAATAATTATATCTAATATTCTGATAGGATGCACATATATAAAACAGTATTATAGTATATGTACTATTATTTATGATTTAATTCATCACACTATATCTCTTAAAATGATATTTATTATTATATTATAAATTATTATTATTAATAATCATAAAACAATAAAATTAAAAATGTAATCTTTTTCCTACTAAACAATTTCTGTCAATTTTGTACTGTGTAAATTATCACAAGGTTAACTTTCTATATAAAAATATAGAAAAGATATAAATTATATTATAAATAAACATTACAATGATATAAGTTGCGCAAAATTTAATATAAAACTTAAAAATTACAGAAATTTATGAAATTACTAAGTTTAATAATTTAAATTACGTTACAAGGATTGAAATACCGCATTTATTCTTACAAACGATAAATAATAAAAGAGTTTATTAGAAATTCTAATTTTTCATTAAAATTGTAGAGTGCATAAAAGCATCATAAATTATTTTGAACACGTAGAAGCGAGTCAGGGCGTAAAATTTAAAGTGAAAAATTCAAACTGACTCGGATATATATCGACTCACGTGCGCTCGTTTTATTCTTTATTGAGAAAAGCGAAATATTAACAGAAACGACATTGTAGAATATTAATATTCATGCGATACATATCAGTTCATTAAAGGCCCACTATCATAGAAAAAAGTCCTGGACATAAAATGTGCGTTTTTCGTTGCTCGCAGAGTGGGAATATTTTTAGGAATTAAAAGACGCGAGGGATCGCAACGTGGCGCCAGCTGGTGGCCGTGTGAAATTTAGTCGACAGTGTCGCGACGCCGCGACGTATTTGTCAATATCTGATCGTTTTCACGATTTTCACGGTTCGTACGTGCCTGTTGGAAAGTATCGCGCGATTTTACCAAGGCGGGTGATCTCGGTGATCGAAGTAGAAAAAGAAAACTCCGGCGTTGGCCACCGGGAGTTCGATGGCGAAACCGAACTGAGAGGCGGAGGAGTGCTCGACGCGGAAAAGGGACATCGAGAACTGGCCGGGACTCGGGACGATAAAGCTGGTAGCTGGTAGGTCTGTAACTCGGCCGTGTATATTGTCGATCTTGTTCGAGGGCCGAGGGGAGCGCGGTGGTGAGAGTGAGTGGAATACACAGTGAAATATCAGAGATCGAGAGGTAACATCGGCTAAAGAGCTGACGCGGTTCTCTCGTCGAAACATCGAATACCGGGCCTACCGAATGCAGTTTCAAGACGGAGTCGCGTATTAAGATGTGAGTACGGTGTGTCTTGGAAAATACAACACGGCGTTCGTTGCGTTGCCGGATTTCACGAGAGAATTATGGCGAGAGGAGAAGAAAGGGTTTCGTTGCCAGCGAGCATTGCATCCGTCGCGACGGCACTCCAACGAGTATAAGACAGTGGGGAAAGATTATCTTCGTAGAGACGGTATGGAAAACTGCCGATAAGGCAGGCAGAAAATATTGTTGCAAATACGAATCATTTTTACATTTGAACAGCTCTGCACAAACACGTAACCCTTTTATGTATGTAAAGTCCGCGCTTAAGCCGCGCACGTCTCTTTCTACGTACGCACACTGTCGTGCTCTTTTATCAACGATGTCATTCTAATACACTTTTGTGCTCGTGCACCTATGAATACCGTGACGGGGGAACGCTCGTGAAACCGGTCTTGTCTTTTCAAAAGCTCCTCGACTCGTTTCTTGATCTCCTCCTTCCACGAAAACGTCATTCTCGTTGTTTCAGCTTCAGATTTTATTACCTTCGTCTTCTTTGTACGCCTGCTGAAGTGCATTACACTCTCGAGAAGCGTCGTCTCTCGTTCTTCGTGTTTTCTTTAATTTTCTTCAATTCAATAACGCGCAAACCTCGTTAATCACCGTGAGATGAACTGTTCACTACATATCTCCTCTTTGTGATTTCCATATTTAAACGTTTTCTTTTTTCACATTTGGATTTCAGGCAATTTCAAGTGACATGCCAAATCATTCGATTACAGTTTAGCGTTACTAATTAAGTAAGTAAATCCAACTCTTTAAAGTGTTCTGTTTCATTTTCAGATAAATTTTACGTACACTTGTGTGTTTAATTACTTTTAAGCTGTGCTCGTTTGCTGTAACATTGAAATAAGTTGAAATAAAATGGCAAAATTTCTGAATTGTTCCTTTTTAAATTATACTTTATTATAAATAGCTATTATAAAGTTATATTATTTCACTGTGTTATTTCATAAAAAATTATAATTGATAATTACAATTTCTTTTTTTGTTTTAAAGCGTTTTAAAATGTGTTAAAATTACGAATGTTTTTTTTTTTTTTTTTTTACCGAAATTCTAACTTAATAGCTAATGCAAATTGTTTTTACTACATGACGAGTATATTCGACATAAACATCGAAAGGATTAATGCAAAATTGATACTATCGCATACATGCAACGAAATATAGATAGATCGTAACATTCTAATCAATCTTCCTGTTAGTTTGATAAAGCTTCATCGATCGCAAGAATTTAACTCTTGTCAATTCGTTTTACGATACAAACATACTCGAGAGTTACTCGCTTCTACATCCCAGTATAAACGAGTGACCTTTGTTACCATACAGAAATTAATGTGCCATCTAGTTTATTGCAAATACCTTGTTAAAAATACCTCAATCATACTCGTATTTTCACTCGTACCGTGAGTTCGCAGATTTTAGAGTCACTGTGCATTTCTCGTTTCTTCTCTTCTTTTTCTTTTTTTTTTCTTTTTTTTTTTNTTTTTTTTTTTTTACAGCAACATCGCTGGTTTTAGAGCGATGCTCGCTATTCGAACGGATGCATGTACAATTTGAAACGCATACGGATTTAGTTCGTAGGTATTGCATTTACATAGAGGCACGCGTAAAGGGAGCGGCGTTGAAACCAAAGGTAGAGGAGACGGTCGTTGGCCGAAGGAGAAACGACCCGGAGTCAACGGAGGAGAGCCTGTTTCGCTACGTGGAACACGTATCTTCGTCGCGGTTGCCTCTGTTCAACCTGCCACAGCCCCTTTCGAGCCGAGCTCCGCGAACAAACGATAACGTTACCTCGCCACGCGAGCAACTTCTTTCTCCGATTTACGATTTCGTCCTTCTCCTCCGTGGTCAGCCGAATTCCCTCGCAATTCGGTTCCGTGACGAATTATCTCTTACCCGCGATCGGCAATCGACAAATGGCCGATGTACAGGTGAATTTCGAATTAAAAGTGGCACGTTTAAACGTACGTACGTACGAATAGGCAGAAGCGTCGCCGACGATGGAAACTCGGCGAGTAAAGTAGTCACGTGCGAGATATAGAATATGTGTTTACGGCAATCGGCATCGCGGAGGTCAATATACCGTTAGAGACACCGCGATATCCTCCTCTCTTTTCTATTTCGCTGAGCGCATCACGTCGCGCCAACTCACTAACGCTGCATGTGTGATTTTTTTTTTTCTTTTCTTTTCTTTTCTTTTCAATGGAAATTTATCCTATCCACGAACGCGTTATAATATTAAGTAATAACATGACGCGATCATCTGCGTTCGGATTGACGTTCCGTCGAATAAATTTACTTTTCAATCGACACGTCGTTACTTCCTCCTACGCAATTTTCGATGTTATCCCCCACGGGATACGGAACAATAATTGTTCACAAACACGATTACCGATTGTTGTTCAAAGTATATATAAAGTGGATGAAACTGGACCCAGATCATGGATAATCATGTTCACTGACTCTAAATAGAATGTGGATTTTAAAATTTTTATAAACATCATCGATGAAGTAAAACGTAAAAAATATTCGTTTCTGTTATATAGATATGTTACAACATACTTCACTTATTTTACGTATTTTATATAAGTATTCTTGCATGTTCTATCGTGCTATACATCTTTCCAACTTCCATAAACGCATCAAATCCACATGCCACTTATAAATTAATGAGTTAAATGTAGGTTGATGCGTTTGATACACGACAAATAAATGAGCCACGTGACGGCAGAATAAGTATTGATACTACCACTCTAATTACTCTTTCCGAGAAACGTCGATGCATCAGTACTGCATCGATATCATTTCAACGATAAATCAGCGGCAGTATGTCGTTCTTAAACGTTTTTTTATCAAACACAGAAACACGTGGAAATTATTAGTATTAAATACACAGCCATACGTCATTAGCTGCTGTGTGGGTTTGTCAACCGGAGGAAATATTTACTCGACGTTTTTGCAAAGTCTCTTATTACGCGCAGTTTCATCATCAAACGTTTAAGATTACACTGAAATTAGTTAAATGGAAATTGAGAGGATCGTACGTGATTGATCGATCGTATGTGCAACGAAGACGCATGTTTACGCGCATCTCGCTTCGATACATCGTTCGATATCAATGAGCCTGCAACTTACACACGACGCTTGAGCGTAAATGTTGGTTTATGCGAATGCTCGTTCACGCGTATGTGTATGTGGGTACTTACGTTTTACCAGTATAAATGCACCGGGTCCTTGACTCTGCCGCTCCAAGTAAAACCAACTTTTACGTAAGCACTTTCTATTTGCGAATGTATGAAAGTGATCAGTGAAAAATATTGTCCCGGCTCGAAACGCGATTGCTTAGAAATGTCGCTCGACTTCGAAAGAAAAGGACGCTCGTTTATCGATATATCGAACACGACATTTTTCACCGAATGCATATACACGTGTATCACGATACTTGACGCATATATTTTTCAACTTTTTTTTTTTTGGTTCATGTACAAAATATCAAGAGGAAGGCTAGATGTATGAACGAAGCGAGTGGTATCGTGTAATAAATAATTTATCGTACTTGAAACAATCAATAAATAAAGTACGATTTATATAGGAAACTATATAGGGAAAATTTATTATGCGATATATTATATTATAATATATATTAACATAATAATTTCTCAAATCTAATTGTAATTTGAAAAATCATTTGAAAGAACAAAGTTTCAAATATTTTTTATTCCGCAGGTGCGAAGAGGCTACAGAAGTGGAGACGCATCATCAGCAAACGGCAGCAACAACGATGGGCGTCGCCGAGGATGAGACGCCGTCCTCTTTGACTTCTCATCCTAACCCCAACGTTAACAACTCCAGCCAAGAAGGTACGTGCCAGAATTGTGACGTTCTCTTGTTGAAACAAAGGAGAGACTTGCGCGCATATACCGAAACACGTGTGCATAAATTGCAAAAGATAAGAAGCAGAACGTTGCGATCAATCATCATACAGATTTTGACAGTTGAATTTTACTTTCATTTTAGGAAACGAGTTTTTAATGTTCTAAGGAAATGTTCTATACGAAATCGAACCGAGAAACCAAATTTTGTTCAAATTTTTTAAGAAAATACAAGTTGAACCGAAAATGGCCAAGAAAAAACCGCAGCAAGATTAATGCATTTATTTAATTATATATACTCAAATTATTCTCGAATAGATTGAAAATATCGGTTACATTCGAAACATTGAGACGATCACATTGAGTTTAAACAGCACATCCAGAAGTGTATCGTTATGTACTTTCTTCCAGACTCGCGATCGACCAGACGTTGATCACAGTCTGTGTCAATCATCGCGTTTCGAGACGCGAAACATAGTCGAGAATCAAAACACGCGCTCATTAATCCGTTTAATTATGACAACGCGGAAGTGCCGTGGAAAGTCCCGATGCGACAGAATTGCGCACTGCACATTTCTCACCCAACGATCACCGTGCTGAACTTAACGATCCT